TGCGGGTACAGTATAATTATTATGCTCTTTGACGAACTCTTTGTCCGTCATGACGAAGAATCGATATTCCTCAAACTATTGTAATCGTCATATATACGTCACACGATCGCGGTCCTGATTCCACGCGCGTCCTTTTGTATAAATATTGAAAAACAAAAAACAAAAAATTCTACCGTCAACCGCGGGGCTATTCTGGTACATAAAATGGTCGGGTACATGAATTTACCATAAATTAAAATAGAATTTTCATTTTAAAGAATTTTATTAAATAGAATAATTTTTTAGTCAAATTTTAATTTTTCTAAATTTTATTAAACAGAATTTAATTTTATTTAATTTCTCTTTTCACGCAACTGTTTATTTAAAAGAATTCTAATTTAACCTAATTTTAATTTAATAGAATTTTTATTCAACGTAATTTTAAGTGAGTGAATTTTTAAATGTAACAATTTCTAATTCACCGAAATTTTTATTCGAAAGAATTTTTATTTGACCAAAATTTCCAATCACCGAACAGAAAAGAACCCACAGAAAGATTTCGCGCGAATTATTTTAAAATTGACCAATTAGGAATTATCAAGAAAATTGTAATTGGACAATTTTAAAATTCGCGCCGAATTGTTTCTGTTTAGCTGAATTTTCATTTAACTAAATTTGAATTTACTTAAACTTACTCTCTAAATTTGAATTAGTGACAATTCGTTCAACAATTTAAATTAGTGAAAATTTATACTATTTTTTCACTAAAACTTTAAGTAAAAAAAAATATATTATTAAATAAAATAGTAATATTTTACTAAAAATTAGTGCAAATTTTTTACCAGTCTGAATTAGTGAACGAATTTTCACTAATTCAAATTTGAAAAGTACATTTGGCCGATTTTTTTTTAAAGATAAATTGGAAAATATTTGAGTTATAAAGAGTCGAAAATCTTTTTTAAAAAGCGAGTTATTATTTTTTTTTGTGTATTATAATACATATATTACACAAAAGAAAAGAATTTAATGATGTTGAGTGAGAAAATGTGTAAAATCGCATATAACGAGCGACGATTTCTACGCCAGAGGCAAGTTCTTCATTCTCTCGTTTAATGTTTGAATTAATTTTCCACGTTTATACCGCTCAACATCAATGTGCTTCTTCTCGCCCTATTTTCATTTCAAAAAGTAAAACCTCATGTGCACGCTGCGAAAAAAATGTATACTATTCACTTAAAATTTCTTTAAAAAAAAATGAAAAAATTATATTGTTAACCGTTGATAACGATGAATTTCTATTTATAGCCGAATTTAGTAAGATATACAATTTTAATTAAATAAATTTTTATATTCAGATAAAATTATTCTTTAATCAAATTTATATTAAAACTCGAACTTGAATGTTGTAGAATATTATTTTAAACAAATTTTTATTTAGCTAAATTAACTTTCTGTCATATTTAAACGCAAACGAATTTTTATTTTTCCAAATTTTCTCTTTAACTAAATTATCATTTAAAAAAATTTGCTTTTGTTCTAATTTTCATTTCACCGAATTTTCATTTAACTAAACTCATGTGGAAGGATTTCCGGATTTTTTTAGGAAGTCCTTCCACATGGAAAACTTTCATATAGAGTCAAATATTCGAGGGGGAATTTACTCAGGTAGTCAAATGTACACTCTTCTTGTAATACTTGTGTAATAACGTGTAATACCGTGTAATAATGCGTTATTACGGTGCTGTAATAACGCAAAAAATCTGTAATATCTCTGTAATAATGTGAAATACTCTGTAATAACGTGTAATAAAGGTAATATGAGGTGTAATATCGGTAGTCAAGTGTACACGTTTTTAACTAGTAAATTCCCCCTCGCAAATATTCTTTTGTTAAAATTTTCAAATCGTCAAATTTTCATTTGGCCAATATAATTTTGTTTATAATTATTTTTATTACGCCAAATAGAAATAATTTTGAATAAAAATTCGATAAAATAAAAATTATATCAAACAAAAAATCACTTACAGAAATATATAAAAACATTAATAAAAAAATTTTAATATAGGCCTCAAATTTAAGACGCAAAAAAAGTCGTATTAGTCAATTTTTTTATTTTAATTCAATTCTATTAATTAATAAATATTTTACTTTAAATAACTAATATTATTGGATATGAAATTCATTTTATTAATTCCTTAATAAGAATATGTAATTCTATGAGAATATTATCAAGAAAATTTATTTTTAATATTATTAAAAATAAAAATTGAATTTTGTAAGAGAAATTTTTAGAAATAATTGAATTTCAAAAGATTTTGTAAAATTTTACAGAATTGAAAATAATTTATCAAATAATTTTAGATAACCATTTCTAAAAATAATTGAATTGAAAATATAGTTTAAGATAATTGAATTTGTAAAGAATTCATTTCTTTTCAAAAATTTACAATTTAAATTTTTGGAAAAATAATTAAACTTCAAGTGATTCTAATTGAAATTTTTTGGAATTTCTGTTGTTTGAGGAATTTATTTGAAATTATACAGGCAAAAATTGAATCTCAAAATTTTTTCATTGAAAAATGCTTTCAGATAATTAAATTTTTAAAGAATATTATAAAAATCATTAAAAACAGTTACAGTTAAAATTATTAAATTTCAGAAAGTTTTAGATGGAAAATATTAGAAATAATTGAATTTCAGAAGGTTTTAAATTGAAATTTTTGAAAATAATTCAATTTCAAGTGATTTTGAATTGAAATTTTTGGTACTTAATTTTATTTGATGATTTTGTTTCAAATTCTAAACAATTATTGAATTTCATAAAATTTCGATTTGAAAAATAGTTTAAGACAATTGAATTTTTAATGAATTAAAATTATTTGAAAAAAATTAATTTAAAGAAGAATTTTAGTTAAAAATTTGTTAAATAATTAAAATAAAGCTGAGATTAGCATTAAATACTAAAAAGGACGTATTTTGTTTCAAAATTTTGTAAAAAAATTTTAATAAAAGTAGAAAAATTCATATAATTCGAGGCCTGTTAATATAAAATTCTGTTCAATAAAATTTTTTCTCTTTTTCTCAAATAAAATACAAAAGATCTATAACTGTCTAGTTTTTGACATTGATTGAAAACATAAAAAGATAGAAAAAAATATAACATAAGGCAAGAAAAGGGTTAAAAACTTTGTAAAAAAAAAAAAAAAAGAAAGGAACGACTTTTCTAAAATTATGTCACCGAAAATATAGAGAAGGGATATATCGTGATATTATAATGGAACGATATGATCCCAAACGAAATCTCAGTCCACAGGAATGACAATAGACTGTCGGATAATGAATCCCTACTGTCACCCTCCTTACCACCCTATGTTCTCTCTAAAACCCATCCTTATGGGCAAGCGCGTATTCACTCGGGTAGCTTATACACTCTAGGCTCTCATCTCCATCCTTCTTTCTCGCGACTTCACCCCCCCCCTATCTCTCTTCTCAACACTTTTTTTCGTCCAACAAGCAAGATATTCAAACGACAATTAAATTGCGCCCAATTAAAAAATTAACGTATGCGCAATTCTTTTTGAAATTAATCAGTCAATTGAATTTCGTACAAAAATTAATTATTTTTCATTCTAATAAACAAAATAGAAATAATTATATTTATTTTTTATATTAATTAAGTTATTTAATTTATTAATTAAATTATTTCAGAACAATATTTATTTAATAATTAATTAAATAATTATATTATCAAATAATTTATACAATTAAATGTTATTTAGCAGAATTTCCATTTAAGCGAATTTGACAATTTTTTATTCAATCGAATTTTCACTTCACAAAAATTGGACGATTTTTTGTTTTAATTAAACTTTATTTGTATTTGATGTGATTTTTATTTAAATAATTTTCCATTTAATCTAATTGCCATCAAGCGAAATTTTTTATTTAATCGAACATTTATTTGATCCAGTTTTCATTTAATTGAATAGTCAGTTTTTTAAAAATGTATATACTTAATTAAATATTAATATAATTTTCTTAATTAATTTTAATTAAACATTAATTAAATTAAAATTGTAGTTTAATTAAAATTTTTAATAATAAAAAATGGAAATTCTGTCAAATAATATTTGGGGGAATTTTTAACCCCCTTCCACTATTAATAAAAAAAAAATGTAAAAATATTAAGTTTAAAATTTTTAAATCCTCATTAGAAAACATAAAAATTGTTCTTATCTTTCGAATGTTCAAAACTTTCACTAACCTCTCTTTCTCTTTTTTTTCTCTCTTTCTCTCTGTTTCATTATCTCTCGATTTTTGCCACCCTTTGCTCTGGAAGCAAACACGACTATGACCGAGTAGGCGCGTCGTACACTTAGCGTTAATGCTTCTTTTATTGGTCAAAAATTCAACCGAAACTGATGTTTATTTCTTCTTATCGCTTTCTATATAACAATATATCTAGAAAAATTAAATAAAAATTAAAATTACTAAATCTCTATTAAAATCAAATACAAAATAATAAAAATTTCAATTTAAAATAATATTCTTAATATACATATAAATATAAGATTAAATATATAAACCAAAAAACTAAGATTTCATTATTTTATTTAATTATCAAATTTATAAAGTAAAAATTATTTTTTAAAAAAATGTCAATTCCTTTTAAAAATCGCATTAATAATAAAAAAAAAAAAAAAAAAATTTTAAAAATGCCTCAAAACCAGCTCACATTTGTTACGCGCGCACAGTCAAAAAGAAAGAATTCATATGACTCATCTAAAAAAAAGAGAAGTTAAAAAAAAATCCATAAAAAAAAGTAGTCCGGATTATAATCCGGATAAGGCTTAACATCGTATGTTGGGCACTGCGAGTATAAAATGAAAATTGTGTAATGAAAAAATAAAAGACAGAACTAACTATATATATATATATAGAAATAAAAAAGAAAAGTAGATGAGACCACGAGTCATTGTCAACTTAATTATAAACAATTAACGAAATTATGCATAAATATATCAATTAGAATACATTTATTACAAAATATTTGAAATTGTTACAATATATTCAGTAACAAAACAGTTTAATAAAAAAAATTGGCTCATTTAATTTTTGAGTCTTTTCCATGTATTTTTTTTTTTAAGTTTCACTTATATAAATATGATAGGCAGTAATGATCGTAAGTTGCAGACTATAATCGTACACAACAAAAACTAAACTTTAAATGCTCTCCTTGTCTTTCATCTATTTTAACAGTTCTATATATTATAATTATAATTATAAAAGAAAAGAAAAAGAAAATAAACTTTCTCACTGGAAAATTGTAAACATTAAAGTATTCTAATGTATAATGAATAAGTATAGAAATAACTAAATATTGCAATAGAATATTTAAAAAAAAATAGAAAAAAATAATAAACGTATGCTCTTCTTGTATAATATATAGAAATTGTAAAAAAAATCGATATAACTAATCGAAACACTTATATAACTAAATAAATCACATTATCATACTTTATTACTTGGAGAAGAATGCTTAGGCATTTTCACTGGACAGTCTTTTCTTACTCTGTAAAAGAAAAGGCAATTATTGAGTTTTTTTTTTAATGTCTATGAAATTTATAACAAACATTTAAGCTTTTTATTTGAGGAGCAAATTTTCAAAAGTCGATAAATTCATTTTTTAAAAAAGTGAAGATATTATTAAAGATCTTACTAATCGATCGAATGTAAGAAAAAAAATTGATTAACATAAAAATTACAATTTAAAAACATCTGCGCTTCAAGATGATTTATACCTAATTTTAATTCTTTGTTTTTTTTTTTTTTAGAAAAAATTATCAAAACCTTAAAATTTTCCAATTATGATAGAATTTAATTAAAAACAAAATGTCTTAAATCCAACAAATATTTTTATATTTTTTACGATATAAATAATTTATTACATTTTTTCTTCTTTAAAATTAATTTAAGTAGTTATGTGAGAAATGTTATTTGTTTAAATTTTTCGAAATATGTAACAAAATATGGATGTATCAACTTTTGAAAACTTACTTCTCATTCCTTCAAATTAAAATAATAATTTTTAAAAACTTAAACATTATTTTTAAAACTTCGACAGACTTTTTTTTAAAGAATTTAGAAAACCATTTTTCACTTTTAACTCATTAGTGATAAAATTTAATTACATAAAAATTTAAATTCTTTAAAAATTAAAATCTTAGGTTATTAATTAAATAATTATTAAATTTATATTATTATTAAAATTTCAATGGGTTTTAAAATGAACAATTTTTTTTTAAAAAGTTAATGTAAAATTCAATTATTTAATTATTTATAAATTCAATTACATTTAGTATTTAAGAGTATTTTTATACGAAAGGGCTTGTCTTCTTTATTATGCAGTAAATAAATATACGGAATAAAAAAAATAATTTTTTAAAGTAATTGAAATTCTTAAATTTAAATTCAAATTTTTTTTTCTTTTTATAACTAAACTTTTAAAAAAATTGTAGAATTGTAGAAAGTTCTATTCTGATTATTATTAATTATTATTAAAATAATAATTTTGAGAATTAATGAATTAAAAATCGATTAAATAAAAAAATATTACAAATATATGTCCAATTTACAATTTCTTAATTCATTTTCAAAATAAAATTGTTTAATTGTAAATTGTTCAAAAAAATATTTTGGAGAACGTTTTATTTCTCTGAAAAATTGAAATTGAACTTCACTTATTTTTCTTTCAAATACAATGAAATGAAATTAATTACCTAAATAATTATTTATCACTGTAATATAGAGAATTATTATTCAAATATTAACTGAATAAATAATTAGTTATATAAATATTAACATACTGGTGGATTATATTATATTTCTATTATATTTCGATCAAAATTATTATTTTTGCTTATTTTATCAATTATTTTATATCTTTAAATATTAAATTTAGTAATTTTTTTTAATACCCTTAAAGCTAATTTTAAGTTTTTTTTAAAAAAAATATTTTTTACTGACTAAAAATAATATTCATCTATACTTTTTCTATGTGTACTTTGAATTCATATTTAAACACAAGAAACAATGAAAATTTTAACAAAATACAAATTTAATTCAAACAAAAATTGAGGGCTGATAAGTTGAATAATTTTTTTTTTCCAAATAATCAAAAACTTTGATTGAGAAATAATGTAATGACTCTATTTTAAAGAGAAAGAAAACTAATTAAATTTAGTTAAAATATGAAAAATAAAAGACATATTTACATTTTGTTTTATAGGCTTTGCTTCAGAATTAGAAGCATGATTCTTGGATCTCTCTTGCTCTAATTGTGCGTGCAATGACGATACTTCGGAAGTTAATTCATCTCTTATTTCCTGAAGTTTGGCTACTTCCGCTAATACTGCAGCCTTATCTTTCACTGAAAATACACAATATTTTATAACAATAACAAGAAAAAAAAAAAAAAATTTCGAAAAACTGCAATTTTAATTTTCTACATACTTTCTCCTTGCGCCAATATTTGATATAATTTTTTATTTCTATTTTTCACTTGACTAAGCTCTTCCTTTAATTTAAACACATCATCTTTGAGTCCCTTAATAATGTCATCTCTATTCTCTAATTCCACTCGTAATTGTGCTGATGTAATTTCATTGTTGTCTATTTGATTTAATCTCGCTTTTAATAAATCTTTTTCCTTTCCCTTTATTATTTCAAGATTCGCTTCTTTTTGGACCCTTTCAAAATATTCAGGATCTGATTCTATTGAAAAATATTCAAGTTTTTACAAGAAGGGAATAGAACATTGTCTAAATTTTATTTTATACAAGAAAGCAAAATTCTTAAAAAACAAAAAGAAAAAATTTTTAATTTTGAATATAAATTACAGAATTAAAAAAAAATTAATTCACTCTGTATTAATTATTTGTAGTAATTATTATTATATTTATATTTATATTTATTATTTATTTGTAGTAATTAAATTACTTATTTGAATTCGATTTTAAAAACAATTCTTTATATTAAATTGTTTTTCATTTGCAAAATTATCAAGCCAAAAATTTGAACAGTTTAAAAATTTTTTTTTTGTAAAATTTAATTTTCTTTTTTAAAAATTAACAGTAAAATAAATCATAAATTTAAATAATAAATTTTATAAATATAAATTAAATACAAATAATAAATTCTTCGCAAAGATCAGAAATGTTCAGTTTCTTTCATTTAATTAAAATTAATTTATGAAATTATTCTTGTTGAATATTTAAAAAAAAATTATTATTAAATCTCGTTCGCTTAGATTCTTAAAATAAAATGTACAAATTTATTAAATTAAATTAATTTATTAATAATAAAAGACAATATTACCTTTTACTTTTCCGTTTGAATTAACAGATTTTTCAGTAATACTTTGTGCAGGATTATTGCCCAAATTATTGAATTCCTCCAGGGACATTGTTGATTTTTTGGATTTTTTACTATTACCCTTTTTAGTTTGTTCCTGTTCTTTCTCAGGTTTAGAACCATTTTCCAATTGAGATTCGTAAGTTATTTTCGACAGCATTATTGCTTGATGAAGATCCTGTTCGTAGGATTCTTCTACTGCCTTTAAAAATGAAAACAAAAATAATTTACAATTTTTCATCAAAAAATTTTCATAAGAAAAATTGATTTTTTTTTTAAGCACATATCATTGGGAACTTTAACATTTATGTCCCTCTGATATTTTTTGTTATTTTTAATAAATTTGTAAAAATTTATTATGTAAATGTGCTTTGAGAAAAAAATAATTTATTATGAAAATAATGTGAAAATATTTATTAATTACGCTCGATCGTAATTTCTCAGAAAGAAGTTTTTAATTATGATTTTAATATATGAAATACCTACATTTTTTTATATAATAAAAAACTTTCATTCACTACAAAGTTAAGAGTAATTTTCAGTGTTTATTTATATAGAAATGATGGTAGAACAAAAATTAGTTATTTAATTTTAATTGTTTAATTAATTCTAAAAAAAATATAAAATGAGAAAAAATTAAAAATTAAATGAAACAATTTTAAAATTAAAGGAATAAATATGAGAAAAGAAACTAAAATTTAAAAAGAAAAAATCTTTAAAAAGTGTTTGGTTAATTTTAAATTAACCAAATTTAAATTTATATTTTAAGTTCCGAATTTAATTTTTTTATTGAAAAGTTAAAAGTTTCAAATATATGCTTTTAATTCTAAATTAATTATTCTAATTTTATAAATAACATTCAGTTTCTAATTTTTTTTTTTAAATAAAAATAAAAATTACAAAAAGAGAAATCTAAAAAATATTGACAATAAGGAAAATTATTAATTACCATCGAATCTTTTTGTTTCCATTGTTCCCATTGCTGATCATTAGCAACATTCTTTTTCTTCTTATTCTGAAAATTAAAACAATATTTAATTTTTTTCTTTTTCATTATCCTTAGTACAATTTTTTATATTCTAATACTAATTTTACTAAAAAAAAATATTTTCAATTTTTAATTCTCCTTTATGAACAAAAATAAAAAAAATTTCTACATTTATTGACAATTACAAAATTGAAAAAAAATATATATTCATAATTTCCCGCCTCAACCAACAAATGTTACCGACAGCACAAAAAAATATGACACTTGATAAAAATGCATTGACCTTACTTTGCTTTGTTTTTTCTTGTCATCTTTCTTGGTTTGTTGTTTAGATTTGTCACTTTTATTTTTTTGATTCGCCTTTAATGAATTGGCAGGTTTTGTTGTTTTCTTCGGTTTGAAGTCATCGTCCTCAATAGCGAGAACAGCAAATCTAGAAGGAACGGCTGTCGCCATTTCTTGTGGAAAAATTCTGATATAACTCTTTTTTTTATTATCCGAAAAAAAGGGGAGACAAAATTTTGCGATCACAAGAGGAGAGATTTATGTCGCAGAATCCGAACTTCCGGTAATTTTATTGTTTTTAGAAAAACTTATGAAACTTTACAAAATGATTACTTTAAATTTAATAATTAATTCTCAATTATCACAATAATTAAGCTAAAAATACTTAAAGTAATTATAATCAACGTTTTGTGAGTAACTATAAAATTTGTGATAGCAAAAAAATATAGTGGCGTCGTCTAGCAACTACGTGAACCGGAAACGAGAATAATAAATGCCGACAAGTTGGCGATTGCAGCGCCAATATTCCGTTATATTCACTACTAAGGGTTGCCATCTATTTTCATGATAAGGAAAAATTAATGTACTTTTCTTTTTCTCTATTGTGGATTTATTCATTATATTGTTTATTTAAAGTAGCAATCCCTATTGTTGTATTTAATTAATTTTAGAATAATTTTAAAAAATGTTTTTTTTTTTTTGAAAAGTGGTCAATATTTTAGGTTAGAAATTAAATACCGCGCTTTTTAAATCGGTGATGTGAAAATATGATATTGAAAAATTTAATAATGAAAGTAAATGTTAGTATTGATAGTTTAAAATTTTTTTTCTACTTTTAGATATTTTTGAAATTTAAATGATAATTATGAAATTTTATAGAGATATTAATTGAATAATAATTTGAATTTGGAGGGTATTTAAAATGAGGTTGGTAGACATGCAATGTAGAGAGGAGCCATCTACGTCGATTGCACACACATTTACACGCACAACAGCCATCATACATAGGCCCCGTTGCACGTCGGGAAATTAAACATGTACGTACGTCATATATCACAAAATAAAGTGTTAAGTGTCCATGGATTTTAGGTCTCAGTTTTAATTTCCCTAAAAGGTGCGCATGAATTTTATATTGGTGGTGTGTTTTTTGCTCTCAATACGGAGTTCTTTGGTGACCGGTGGCCGGGTGAGAGACGAAGCGCGGAGGAAGGACGTTCTCCTGGGACGCTCGCCAATTTCTCAACACGGGAACAGCGTCGCACTTGATAGCCGGATTCAGCGGTAGTGCATTGCATTTTGCGTGTTTAAAAGACATTTTGAAATTAATAAATTGCATCGGATAAGATGCACTTTGCGTGCATAACACGCAATCAATTTGTAGTTGAAGTCAGTGACCACAAAAACGCTTATACGAACAAGCATAGACACGTTCTGGCAACCTGGTTTCCCGCGAATCTTTGCCCTCCCCCTCCAATGACCACGTCTTCTCTTCCTCAAGTCATTAAGGGTCGTTAAATAAAAGTTTCAATTTTCTTATTATTTAATTTCAATAGTTTGTTGTTTTTTTTTCGATAAACAAAACAAGTTTTTTTTAAAGGCGGCAAACACGGGGGCGATGACAGTGTCATGCGCTCGCTGAAAGTGATTTCTCCTTTCGCAATGTTATGAAGAACCTTGTGCTTTGCGCTGATGTATGTTTCACAAGGCAGTTTTTCCTTTTGTAGGAAATGTGTTTTACCATTAGTGATATTGTGCTCTTAAAAATTACTGTGAATAGAGAAATTTATTCAACGTTTAAAAACATTTGAAAATCGAAAAAAAAAAAAAAAATCTCGTCAGTGGTGCTAAATAGTGTTAATAGCCATGTAGCTGAAAGATAAAAAAAAAATAGTCTCACCTATCTTGTTTCTGGAATTTCACGTATAACCTTTTTCTAAAAAGGTTAAGATAGGTTAAGTGTGGTCTGATTTTTGTACTGTTAAATGCAATTAAAAAACTAGTCAACATGTGCGAGCAAACGGAAATCAATTACATGAACGGAGATGTCGTCTGGGTTAAACTTTCAAGGTGTTGGTGGCCTGGCCAAGTTGTTGGCTATGAAAATTTACCCGAAGATGTTCAAATTGAATATACAAAAAAGTCTTTGATTGCTGCTGTTAAATTTTTTCAAGAAGATTGTTTGTAAGTTGTTTTTGCTTTTTTTCTTCAATTTTTTTTGTAGTCACTTGTTTTTTTTTATTGTTTAAAATAAAAATGATTTTGTTTTCATTTACTTTTAAATATTTTAAGAAATTTTCAAATTAAATTCAGTATTTATTAGTTGATAATTTATGAAATTGAGAATTTTCCTTGGTTTAAAGATTTTAAATTTCATTTATTTAATATTTAAAAATAAAAATTTCTACATGAATTGTTTATTGTTAAATGAATTTGTATTTCTTTTTCAGTGAATATGTGAAGAATTATCAGCAAATTTATAAATATAATTGTACGCAAAAGGATGATTTTATTCAGAAAGGCCTAGGTATGTGTCTAAATTAATTATAAAAGATTTTAAAAAATATTTCACTAATTTTAATATCAAATTTAGATATTTAATTTTTTTTTAAATATTTTTTTTCGAGATAAAATCGCCATTTTTTGTTACAAAATTCTTTCTTAAGTAACAATTCAATTTTGAGGTTAAAAAAACACAAAAAATTAAAACAAAACTTTTTAAGTAGCATTAAACACGTTTTTTTTACAGTGTATTTAAATTGTTTAAATTAAATGTGACTAATTGTGGAGTCACTTCATTGAATGGCAAATTTACCGAATTATGTAAAAATCTAACTTTTCCTAATTTAGCAATATCATTATATACTGAATTTGAAATATTTTATTCTCTAATTTGATAAATTTAATTTCGTATACTTTTACTTTAATTTGTTTTCAATAATTCTAGAAAATTAATAACGAGAAAAAGTATAATTTTAAACTCTTGGTTGAAAAAAAAATATATAAAATTTAATCAGAAAAATTATTATTTGTATAAATAATTTTAACAATTTAAATAAATAATTTTAATAGTTTAATTTATTAATTATAATACTTGTATCTAAATTTCAGGATTTAGAACACTTCTTTTTTTTCTCTTTTTCAAAAAATTTCTATTTTCCCCCTTTTAATCAAAATATTCCTTCCTTTCATCTTTTATTTTTAAATATTTTGTTCCATTTTGCAATATTTTTCTATTTTAATTACAATTTACCAATTTTCAGAATTATTTGTTTTTGTTTTGTTTGTTTTTTTTTTTTTTTAAGAAAGAATTGTAGATTTTTATACAATGCTGAAGTCCACAACGTTTATGATCAGCGATTAGAAAATAAATTATTTTTTAAGACGTAAATTTGAAAAATTTATCTAAAAAATATTTCTTTTTTATTATTTTTTAATCAACAAACTTTGCAAGAAATATCTTTAAGATAAAAAATTCATAGAATTTTTCATTCAAGAAAAATATTTCTTTAAAAATCGTTGATCGTAAACGTTGTAAACTTCAGTATCGTAATTTTTCGAATTTTTTTTCACTTAACTTAGATTTTTTAATTATTTAGTTCTTAACTTGTTTGTAAAATAATTTGAAAAACTATTAAAACTTTAGTAAGAAAATGTAAAAGAAATGTAATTCCATGTAATTCCATGAATACTTTTTTTTAAAAAATATTTTGTATCGTACATAAATATAAATTTTGTATTAAAAGAAAATTAAAATTTGCTTTTGATTTATAATATATATATATATATATATTTTTGTAATCATAAAATTAAAAGTTTATTTAAAATTATGAACAAACGAGATATTAATTTTTTTTTACTTATTGCAGACAAATATCGAAGCGCAATGAAAGATGGTTCAAGCTATATGAACAAATTTCCCGAGGATGTTGAGACTGCTGAGAGAATAACAGGTGGCGATCCCGAAATAATATTTAGTGATAAATTCAGTCCAGCGGAGAAACCTGATATCTCATCATTATTTGGCGAGAAGAAAATACCGAAGAAAAAACGTGACGATTCACAAAGAAGAAGTGAAGGTGGTGCAACGATGTCATCGAAAAAAATCACTCATCAAAGATTTATGCGACAAAGCGATCATGAAATTCGAATACGCGAACAAATTGTTAATTCACCAAATGCAAATAATTCAACATACTTTCCATGTTGTCATTGCAATTTTACTAGTACTCGTGTAAATGTTTTAATTGAACATTTAAAAAGTCAACAACACGATGATTCATCAAATAATAAAAAGAAAACGTCCACTAAACTTGTTTCTAAAGCAAAGAGTAAACATTATGAAAATGATACTCCAAAGAGAAAATATGTGAAAAAAGATAAATCAAATGTGAATAAAAATAAATCTGACACTGCTGCCGAGCAAAAGAAGAGAAAATTGGGTAAATCACCCGATAAAAGTATCAAGAAAAAGAAATTAAATGCCCAAGAAGAAAGAAAACGAATTCAAGATGAATTATTGGAAGATTGGGTTGACGATTCTGATGTTGATATGAAAGCCGATTTAGATCCAGAAGATTGTTTTGATTTTAATTCAACTTCCGATACAACGTGTCCTGATACATTATCCCTCACGTGTTCACCAACGAAAACATCGCCAATTAAAAATAATGACACAAGTCTCATTGTTGAACGTGAAATAATTCAAGAGGAAGAAAAAGAAGAAGGTGAAAATAATTCCGAATCAAAAGCAATTCCCGATGATGAAACATTAAATTTACTTGAGCAATCTGAAAAATTGCTTATGGAAACAAAAAAATTCCTTGACGATTCCAGTGGATCATCCAAAAGTCCCAAGAGATTGATTGACAAATTTAAATCCGATAAATTTAAATCAAAATCAAAAGACAATAAATTTTCCGATACAAAAAATGACCAAACACCATCTTCAGAGGATAATGATGATAAAAAATCAAGATTCGCTTGTTTTGAATTTGACGAAGAAGATATTCCCGAAACAACCACCGTACAAAAGCCGTCGAGGTTTTTTCTAAAGAAAGACATGATTAAAGAATATGAAAAAAGTGAGGCAATAAAAAATGAAAAAGAACGACATTCGGGAAAATTTTTTCATCGAGAAACAATTGTCGCAAGAACCAATGAATTAGACGATGACGTCGATATGGAGAAGAATAAATTTTTTAAAAGTAAACAAAAATCAATTGAAACTAAAGATTCTGATGCCATAAATAAAATGGATGAAATTTCAAATAAAAATAACGATGTCAATAATATGTTTCGCGAGACAACAAGCACAATGGACAATTTTTTAAAATCAACCGATAAATCACAAGTTGAAGAAGTGGAAATTGTCGAGATTTTTGAAGTTGAACGAGAAGAAGATGACGTCGCAGCTGAAACAATAAAAGAATCTCAAACAGAAAATAAAGCAAATTTTGATATTTGTCAACAATTATCTGAAAATTCAACGAAAATGGAAACTCATGATGAAAAATTTCAAAATATTTCATCTGAGAAAATAATTTCAGAAACTACACAACTAAATGAAAATTTAGACAAAGAAACTGAATTGTCCAAGGAAGATGAAATAACAGAAAATATTGATTCAAAAATTGTTCCTGAAGAAAAAATAAATTTTCAATTGGATCTAAAAGTCGATAAACCGGGGGAAATAGTTGACAATTCACCTGAGGCAAAAACAGAAGTAAATGAAGAAATCATTGAGACAACAGCAAAAAAACGACGAGGCAGAACAAAGAAAAGTATTTCAATTGAAACACCACGTCGTTCAAGTGTCGAACAAAAAAGTCTAATCGAAGACAGTCAATCAGAAACTGAACCAACAACGCCATTGGAAATATTAACAAAACCCAAAGGTAAAAGAGGACGTAAACCAAAAGCACAAACTTTATTTCAAAATTTATTAAAACAAAACGAAGAAGAAATTATCATGACACAATCGTCAGAAAATGTCATTGACGATAGTCAATTAACAATTCAAGACGATGATAAAATTCACGACACAACCATCGAAATGGAAACAATTTTAAATGATTCAAAACCAAAACGAGGAAGAAAACCAAAAAACTATCGTCCACCCTCACAGGAGAAACAAATTAATGAATCATTTAATCTCACCGAGGACAGTCAATCTGAATGTGAAGAAAAAAGTTTTCACATTGAAAAAAATGTTGACATTGTTGTGAAACCAAAGTCAAAAAGAGGTCGAAAACCAAAAAAATCACTTTCAACTCAAGAAAAAATTTCCGATTTATTTGGACCCGATGAAATTGATATTGTTGCACAGGGAAGTGTTGAAAAATTACCCGAAGAAAAATTAGAATTAGATGAAAACAGTGAAAATTTTCCAAAAGAATCACCAATAATTGAAGAATCGATAGAAATTGTAAAAGAATCAACAATGGAAATTGATTCATTGCCTGTTGATTTTGAAACAACGAATGATAAAGAAAAATTTCTCATCGACGATGTGAAAACAATTGAAAAGGAACAAATTTTACAAATTGACAATTCCCAACTACAACCAAATGAAATAATTTCAAATTTTGAGAAAAAAAGCCGAAGAAAAAAGTCACCAAGTGAATCGAGTAAGGAACAAGAAATTGAATCCGAATCAATTGAATTAAAAAAGTCCGATAAAAAAATTAAAGAAAAAAAAGAAATTCCAATGGAACATACAGAAATAATAATAAGCGAAGAAACGAGTGAAAAAAATGAGTCTGAATTAAAAACATCAAAATTTGACAAAAGTCGAAGAACACGAAAATCAACATTGGAAATTTCGAGAGATGAATTTCAAATTACAGAAGAAATAACCGAAACTTCAAGTGACAAACCAGTGTCAATAATTGACGATTTGGAACAAAAGAAATTGGAAAAAAAGTCCAAAGGAAAAAGAACATCTGAAGTACATGCCAAAGAATCAACACCCGAACAATCGTTAGAAATTTCAATTGATACAAAAAAATTGGAGAAAAAAGGCAAAAATAAATTTGAAATGAAGGAAGAACAATTTTCCGAAATTTCGACAATTCCAGAAACAATGGATGATATTCCTCATGTTGAATCAAAAAAAGAAAAAAAGGGAAGAGGAAGAAAATTAACTGTCGATATTAATAAAGAAGAATCATCATCATCATCATCTCAAGAAATTTTAGCAATTGTCGAAACAATTGACGAAAAAATAGAAACAAAAAGAATTGAAAGACGTGGTAGACCAAGAAAGTCAGCAATTGAAGTCACTATGGATGCCGAAATTGAAAAATTACCTGAATCAACTGAAGAAAGTCATTTACAAGAACCAGAAAAAATTGAGGTAAAAAAAATTGAAAGACGAGGTAGACCAAGAAAATCAACAATTGATGTCACTATGGAAACGGAAGTTGAAAAATTATTGGAATCCACTCAAGAAATTCATCCACCGGAATTGGAAGCAGACAAAAAAATTGAAAGACGAGGTAGACCCAGAAAGTCAATTATGGAAACTGAAGTTGTTGATGAAGTCGATAAATTACCGGAATCAATTCCAGAAATTCATTCATCACAATTGGAAGCAATTGACAAAAAAATTGAAAGACGAGGTAGACCGAGAAAATCAACAATTGAAGTCAACATCGAAACAGAAGTTGAAAAATTAGCCGAACAATCTGAAGATTATTTACCAGAGGCAAAAGAAGAAAAAGAAGAATCCGACGTTGAGAAGAAAAAAGCGGAAAAAAAGATTAAAGGAAGAAAATCAATGTGCGAAATAAAAGATGGGGAAATTTTCGAAAGAATAGAAATTCCAGAAGAAATATCCGAAACTCCAATTATCACCGATGAATTAATCGAACAAATAAAACCTGAGAAAAAGCGAGGAAGAAAATCGACAATTGAACTTCAAATGGAGGAAGAACAAATTTCCGAAGAAAGTCAATTATCAGAATCAATGGATCATCAAATTGGCGATGTGAAAAAACCCGAGAAAAGAGGTAAACGAAGAAAATCGACAATCGACACACCGAAAGAAGAAGAAGAAGAAGAAGAAGAAGAAGAAGTAGTAACAGAACAATATCATCAAGAACAAGTCGATGTAATGGAACCGGAAATTGATGCCGAACACACGGAAGCATCGAAAACATACAAGGAACATCGAAAACCCGGACGTCGAAGAAAAAAATCAGTCGACATCAAAATCAAACAAGACGGTGACAATGAATCAGAATCAATTGACACAATTGAAAGTACACCACTCAAAAGAAATGGACGAAGAAAAAAATCATCGTCATCAATTTCAGAAATCCTCCCCGAAATGAAAGATCAAGATGGTGAAAAATTGGAATTGGAAACTATTTTAACGGAATCAATTATTGACGGCAATGAATTGTCCGAGAAAGAGACGAAAAAACGAGGACGAAGAAAAAAGTCCGAAAATGATTCCGAACAAATGAAAACTGTTGTTCCAACACCAAAAGGTAAACCAGGTAGAAAAAAGAAGATAATTGAACCAGTGAAAGAAGATTTTTCCGAGCATGAGAAAAAAAAGTCTGAATTTCATATTAAAGAGGATGATGCAGAAAGAATGGAATTTCCAATGGAACAAGAATCATCAATTCTTCCCGTGCAAGAGCAAATTCCCTCAATGGAAATAGAAAATGATCAAGTTCCAGAAGCAATGGAAGAAACATTTGTGACAACGGAAATTGTTGAAACAACCGAAATTGTTGAATCAACTCCATTTATTGAATCAACAATTGTTGAATCAACGCCAATTGTTGAATCATCGACAATTGTTGAATCATCGCCAATTATTGAGTCAACGCCAATTGTTGAATCAACGCCAATTGTTGAATCAACATCAATTATTGAGTCAACTCCAATTGTTGAATCAACATCAATTGTTGAATCAACACCAATTGTTGAATCAACGCCAATTGTTGAATCAACACAAATAATTGAATCCACTGAACTTGATCAACAAACAGAAGTGGTTGAAACAACAGAAGTTGTGGAAACAGAAGTGGTAGAAACAACCGAAGTCGTCGAAACAACGGAAGAGATTGGAACAACGGAAGTTGTTGAAACAACAGAAGTCGTTGAAACAACGGAAATAATTGAAACATCCGATATTCCATTACCTGAAGCAGAAAATTCATCAAGTGAAAAAATATTTCCTGCGGAAATAAAAGAAGATGAAGCTAAATCATCAAAAACAATTCAAGTCAATAATGTCGAGAAAGCACGATCATATTCAAATTTTCTCGAATTGGACATGTTACCACCGAAAAAGTCACAAATCAAAAAATTTGAACTCTCACAAATAGAATTTAATTTGGAGAGTGAAAATGAGAAAAAAGAAAAAATACCAACAATGAGCGAAACTGTAAAGAAACTCGATGATATTGGTAATATGGAACTTGAAATACGTTTGCAGCAAGGTCACACGGTTGAAGATTCAAAACCACTTGAAGATGTTCTCACTGATGAGACAAAAGATGTAAATGTTTTCGAGGCATTAACAACTGATAATGTATCAGCAGCAGTTGTTGTTGAAACAATGCCACAGGAAATTAATCAACTCTCTGGTATGTCAACTGATAAGGGATTTACAACAATGGATCGTAAAGATGTTGACGATGAGACATTAGAAAAAGAAGAACAATATTCAATGATTGAACGAACATTAGAACAAATGGATTCAGTATCACCGAAAACAGTTCGCGAAGATCCACCACCCGTTAATAAATCACCAATGCAAACACGATATCAAGGTAAATTTACACCTGAAACAGGCTCAAGAAGTAGTAAAAAAGAAAAGGATATATTTGCCCTCGATAAAAATACAACATTTCAAGATGTTTTTATCAAAACACTTCAAATTGAAAACGAAGATGAAGAAGATGAAACACATCAAGGTAAAGCATCGAAAAAAATGAGAAAATCAAAGAAAAAACCAAGTGACAATAATTTAAATTCAGATCTCGGTAAACATGTTCTAACATCAAAAATTGCAAATATACACGATCAAGATATTTCTGGAACGTCGTCAATGACAAATTTCGAAGGTGTTGAAGTTGTTGTTGGTCAAAATTTAGAAATTGAGGATAAACCACAGTCAACAAATTTTGACACACTTCCAAAAGATACGAAAAGCACACAAAATGAAAGTTCAATGACATTGGAAGTGAAATATGAAGAAATTGCCGTATCATCGCCATCGTCATCATCGGAAACAACAATGCCAGTGAAAAAACGTGAAAAACCAAGAATTATCGAAAATGTCGCTCTCAAGGAGCCAATGATTTTAAAATCAAAATTACTCGAGAAATTACCAACAAAAGTAATGAAACATAAATTAGAAAGTGACACAATTTTAAAAGGTGATAGTCCAAGGGCAAAAATCATGAAACTCGATGGAAAATCACCGGCAAAATTCAAAAAAACTTTAAAAACCGATGAATTAATAACAACAAAACTCATTAATACAACACCACAAACAATAACATCACTTTCAATATCTGAAAAGTGTATTCAACAGAGTTCACAAAGTCTCGAGGATATGGATTTAGACATCAGTAATATGCCAATTGTTCTTAGTGAAGATGTTCTTACTCCCGAAAGTATTGAAAATATGCCTGTTGTTATTTCAGGTGTAATTTCATCAGATATTGATTCACAATCAACAACAGGACAAGTTAGTGTATTACCATCGTCTGAAATTAATTTTCCCCTCAATGATCAAGCATCAACATCAATGTCAACAGCAACAACAACAACAACATCCACAACAACGACAAATGATTCCGATGTTACTCTATTGAAGAAAAAAGTTGGAACACCAGCGATTTTGAAAAATAAAGTCAAAGGCAAACCAACAATAACAAACATCACAACAATTGTCCCTCCACTCGCAATGGGTGTGAAAAATGTGAAATTCCAAAATGCTCAAACCGGTAAAACAACAACCTATCAAAAAGATACACAAGAAAAATTTTTCATCGTTCACAGTGGTCAACAACGTGGTTATAAAGTTCAAGGTAAACCTGGAACATCACAAAAATTAATGCTCCCAACAAATAAAAGTCCCGAAAGTGTACAATACATTCAACAAGATCGAAAATTAATGATTATACCATCATCAACGGTTGGACAAAAAATGGTACCATTAAATGTCACAAAATCCGGTGGCAAAGTACAAAGAATATTATCACAAAAAGGTGAAATAACAACGGTAATACCACAAAATTATCAAGTTAATAAAACAGTTATTCGACAAAGTGATTCAAATTCGCCAACAACATCAAAAATTCCCGGTGCAAAAATTATTAATCCCCGTGGAATAATAACAGCTAAAGGTACCTTGACGCCAATTGGTAAATCATCACCAATTACCGTTAGGCCAGTTCTCTCGAAAAATAATACAATTCTCACATCAAGTATTGCAACATCAAAAAATATTCTAACATCCCTACCGCAAACAATTGTAAGTCCAAAAGGCACAATTTTAACACCAATCACTGGACAACAAGTGAAAGCCCTAGCTGCCAAGACACCGCAAAAAGGTGGTAAAATTGCCTATCAAAAAATGCCAATATCATTAATACAAAAAGGACAAACATCATCATCATCATCATCATCATCATCATCGCCGCAAAAAGATGAAACCCCCTTGAAATTATCACCCGCACAGATTATCTATCGAAAAGGATCAAAGCCAATTACTCAACAAAATCCACCAGCTCTAGTACCAACGGCAGAATCATTAAATGTTTCCACACAACGTGGAAAATATATTTCATCCTCTTCATTGCAAAAGGCGACAAAAATTCCTAAACAATTCCGCGCTGGAATGCAAACAAAAGGAATTATTCGAAAATCACAAGACGATGAAATAGCATCGCCAATTTCAAAAATAGTCAAATCACCACAAAAAATAACACGTACAAAGGGAAAGAGAAATATTTTAAGCGCCGCTCTCAGTTCAATTTCAATAACAACAGCGAGTTTGGCAACAACATCAGCATCGGCAACAACAACAACAACAAGTACAATTCCCCTCGATCTCCCTCCACTTGAGCCAATAAATCCCGAGAAGAAACCAAAGATTGATACCGAACAAGAAGTAGTGCCAACCCAACAACCACAAATAATAGCTCTACCATTTGAAAATAGCGATGGAACACTATTGATGTTGATGACAACTGACGACAACAATGCTCTAATGTCCCTCGAAGGTGCTGTCGACAATATTGTCCTTCAATTTGACAATGGCACAGTCTCAAGCCTTCAACCTGCCGTCAGTGAAAATCAAATAATCGAAACCACTTATGCATCATCAGATATTGTTCAAACATCAAGTCAAGATATTTTAGCGGCAGCTCTCGCTAATAGTGATTTCCAACCTGAAATAACACCATCGCCACCTTTACAATCACCTCAATCAACGTCAACTAGCGTTGGTCTAACTCAAACAAGTCTCATTAATCAAACAATACTTCAATCAACAATAATTCCACCAACCGAACCAATTACATCGGCCTCGGTTCTTGAGACATCGTTAACTCTCAATCAACCAATAATGACACCACTTGAAGTACCCAGTAATCTATCAACATCACTGCAATCCGAAACAAATTCAAATATTTCATTTGTTGCCGGCGAAGTACAAATACAAATTCCCGGTAATTCAATGCCCGATATTGGTGAAATGATGGAAGGCGGAAACGATACACAAAATGACGATACACCAGTCACGCAATATTTAGTCATTCCCGGTATGGAGAAAGATAAAATATCATATTCTGTCTCAATACCCGAAACAATGATGATCGATACTAATCAAGGACAAACAACCCCATCGATGCCAATTATTGATGATTCATACGTTGAGGATGTTCAATATAATGCATCAATTGAGACGTCAAATGAAAATTTCGCCGATGTTTCTGTATCGGATATGTTGGTCTCAAAAACATCGACAACAGTCAGTGAATCGCCAATTGTTGTTTCATCGGAAATCACAACAATTCCCCACGATTCCAGTATTGATGTTCAGGAGGAATCGGTAATCACCGAAGATTATAGTACGCAAATAATAGAGGCAAATGAAACATCAAATATTGATTCGTTTGCGAATCAAGAGGTACAAATTGAATCAAGTGAAATTGAGATTCATCATCAATCGGGAATTGAAATTGCCCACGAGATGGAGACATCTGATTTTCAAATTGAAACAACAACATGTCAGGAGGAGGAAATAGTTACACATCAACAAGAGGAAATAGAAGCGCCCGTTATGATTGAAACATCAGAAATTGAAACACCGCATGAAATTGAAATTTCCCAAGAAATTGAAGCAAATGTTACGTCTCATGAAATTGAAACCACTCAGGAAGAAATTGAAACGTCTGATAGTCAAAATGTAACGCAGGATCAGATACAAATTTTCGATGAGGCGGAATCGTCATATGTGACAGAAACTGAGGAAGTTGTACAACATCATCAAATTGATGATGAAAGACCCGCGACATCGAATGATGAACAAGTATTGACATCGAATCGATTGGATGATAATATGGAAATTGAGGAAGTTCAAAGGGATCATTATATTTTGGAAAGTTCGAGTATTTCTCAAGCTGATGAATTGACATCGCATCATCATCATCATCATCATCATGTTCAGGAGGATGATGATCAATTAATGAGAGATGATTCAAGAATTATATTTGAGGATACTGTTACCGACACTAGTCAAGAAGCGCCATCGCAATCTTATGGACAATTTGATAATTCAATGATCAATGATAATAATGTGGAAGTGCCTAGTCAATCAGCGAAATCGGAAAATTCAAGGGAACCATCACAATCGGTGGGCTATGAACCAATGGAAACGGACGAGACCGTCTCTGGTAAGTTTTCAAAATTATAATAATTTTTTTTTTTTTTTTTTTAAGCTGTATCGTTGGAGAAGAATTTTTTTCATTTTCTTGAATTTCGTCGGAATTTATAATTATAGTGATCATATAAAGTAGAGTTAACATTCAGTTAGATTTTTAATGACGCTGAAGTTACCAACGTTGATTCGACGAATCAACGAACGAATTTTTCGTTTTCAGAATAGTTTAAAGGCCAAGAAGCAATTTTTTTTATTGAAACTTCTTTATTTTAGTCTCAAATACATCTTTTAACACTTAAAATCCTCAGCCAAACCGAAAAAATTTTTAATCTTAGGGAAAAAAAATTATTTTCGGCGAATCAACGTTGGTAACTACAGTGTCATGATTTTTATAGAAATATTTCTATTTAATCTTATTTTTATTTAACAGACGATTTTACGCCTTTTTTCCGACTTTACAAAATAAAATTAAAAATAAATTTATTCAATTAGAAACAAAATATCTTTTTTTTAGTACAAATTGTAGTTTATTTAAAATTCAATATGTATTTTGAAAATTTAAAGCTAAAAATTCTGCGAAATTAATTATTTTCAATAATTGTAATGAAATTCATTGAAAATTAAATTATTTAAAACAATTTCTAATTAAAATTCTCTAAAATTCAATTATTGCCTAAAATTCTTTTTAAAAAACTTTAGTAATTAAAATTTACAAAATTTTTAATTTAAAATCTCTTTGAAATTTGATTAATTCTAAAAATTTGGACTATTTTGAAATTTCATTATTTTTTAAATTTCTTTTTAAAATTCTTCAAATTAATTGTTTTTAATAATCTTGAGTTAATAATTAAAATCTTCAAAAAAATAAAAAATAATCTTTAATTAATAATAATAATAATAATAATAATAATAATAATAATAATAATATAATATTCAATTTTACAAAAATTAAAAATTATCAATGATATTAACCAATTGTTTTTATTCAAATAATTTTCATCAACTTCTAAAATTCAAATATCTAAAATATTTGTAGTTAAAAATTTTATCTTATCTTCCCAAAAAAGTATTTTATTTTTAAAAACTAATTGAAATTTTTTTTTAACTATTTAAACTTCAAACTTTGACAGAATTATGAATTCATAAATAATTTGAAAATTGAAATTTTTTTTTTAAATGTAACTTTTGTATTTTTTTTAATAAATCTAAAATTTTTGAAATTCTTGAAAATTTGTCTCATTGTTAGTTCAATTTTGAAATATATTGTTTAAATAAAATTCCTTTATAAATTTCTATGCAATTATTTTTATTAAGAAATTATTAACATTTGTTTTTATTATCTTATAATAATGGTTAATAGAAATTAAATATGTATTGAATTAAATTTAGAAAATCGACTTTTCCCACTTTTTTTCTTATATGTAAATCGACTAAAACAAATGTTTAAGAAAGAAGGAAAAAAAAATTATAAGCACAATTAAAGCTTGAAAATTTTTATTGAACGGAATTTTTATTTGATTGAATTTTCATTTAAAGGAATTCTTAATTAATTTTTGAAAATGCTAGTAAATGAACATTTTATTAAATAAAAAAATCTATTTAATTAAAATTCGTTCCAATAAAAATTTTGTGCTAAATTATTAAAAAAAAAATTTTAACTAAAATTAAACTAAAAATTCTGTAACATACAAACTTGGATAAATAAATAAGGAAATCAGTTAGATAAAAATTAAAAGAAAGAAAAATTAGAAATTACAAATTATGATTTATAAAAATTTTGACAAATATAAATATCAAAAAATTTCAGAAGAAATTTTTTGGAAGTAAAATAGAAAAACAAAAAAACAATTATTGAAAATTTTAGATTGCATATTTATTTATTGTCTATAATATAGAAATATTTTGTCACCTATTAAAAAAAACACTAGGCACTATGATCACTATAATTATATTATAATAATCATGAATTCAAAATATTATTCAATTTAAAAAAAAATTTAATTTTCCAATTTTTAAGATGTACTTATTTATTTCTTTAATCACAATGTACGGGAAATGATTATGATGGAAATGAAACTTTAAAAATAATAAAAATTAATTTTGTTATGAAAAAAATTCTTGGGTACTAATTTTTAATTTATTGTATTTAATTTATGATTCTAATAATAATGATAATTTAATAAATAAATTATTGTTTAATTAGATTTAAGTTATAAAAATTCTTTTTTTTTAAATAAAACGAAAAACCTTTTTTAATACAGCAAAAAAAAAGTAAAAAAAAGAGGTTTTCATTTATAATTTACATGCGAAATCCCCTGAATTTCAGAATTTCACCTGTAATTTAAATTACAGGTGAGCCCCCGTCTCAATCTTTCGAAGATTCAACAACGAGCGAGGCCACACAATCCTATTCATCGGGATTAGCTGATATCAGTACCGACACACCAACTCAATCGTTCAATGAAATTGATCAATGTCAAAGTGGTGAACGATTAATGAACACAAACGACGACAACAATGACGTTGATCAAATGGATGATCAAAGTTTTCCAACTCAAAGCTATGAAGTTGGTAAAATGGATAATCTTTCTGAAAATTTAGAAACCGATCCCGAAATAAGTCAAGAAGGTAATATTCCATCACAATCAAATGATATAACAACCGATGATGGAATTGGAACATCATCAGTTTCAACAAATAATTTGAATCTCAATGAAGATGAAACGGCAAGTTCATCATACGTTCCCGAAACACCCGAAACACAAGAACGTGATCAAGATCAAGAGAGTGCAATTAGTACATCATCCTATGAGATACCACCATGTGAAGAACTTAATATTGCATCATCCTCAATACCCGATACATCGGAACACTCGAGTATTCACGATAATGGAATACTCGAAATTCCCACATCGTCCTATAATTTAAATCCCGACAGTAGTAGTTCAACGCACGTTGATTCAGTTCCCACATCAAGCTATCATGAAGATCAAGTGATTCTTGAACAAAATGTTTCAACATCATACGATGTTCCAATATCAATGCCACGTCTCGATGAAACAACAACAACAACAACGTCGTCACAAAATTTTGTCACCGAAAGTTCCGATCGTCGCAATGAACCAACAAGTTATTATCGTGAAGCTACTGCCAGTTATTATGGTTCACAGCAACATCAAGATCCAAATTCACGACTAATTGAAGATCCACAACCAAGTTATTATGGTTCCAATACACATCATCAACATCATCATCAACAACAACAGCAACAGCAGCAACAGCATCACCATCATCATCATCCTCATCATCATCAGGAGGCAAGTCAAAGTTATTTTGCACCTGAGGAAGCGACTCCAAGTTATGCGAGTCACAATCAAGTATCGCCAAGTTATTATGATCCACCACCTGAGGCAGGTGAAGCAAGTCAAAGTTATTATTCGGCACAAGAATCCGAAAGAACCGAACTACAATCAACGTCGTCGTCATCGTCAACAACGCAAAATATGGAAGCCTCGCAAAGTTTCTATCAAGAAGATAATATGAGACTGAGACAAAGAGGTGAGGCAACGCCAACATATTCTGATCGTTATCCCGTTGAATATGCATCGACAAATTCACCATTGGAGAGGCATGATTTAGTTGAAAGCTCAGTTCCTGCAACACGACCCACGGAAAGATAATACGATTTTTAAAAAATCCATTTTCCTTTTTTTCCCCCGCTGGTCGTCATTTTGGATCTATTGAAAAGCAAAAAAAAAAAAGAAAGAAAAAAAAACCTGTAAATAGTACTTTAAAAAAAAAAACTTTCAAATAATAATCATTTAAGAGTAAATTTACGTCTTACTATTATAATTTATAATATTCTAATATTCATTTAATCAGGTGTGAATGATTTCTGACACGGATTTGATCCGTCAGATTCTTCAGAACTCAAGCATTGATTTCAAATTTAAAATTATATTTTATTTCAAAAAATATATTTTTTTTGATGGTTAATTTTTACTTCACCATCTAATTTTATATATATATAATAATATAATATATAAATATATATATGTAGTATAATATATCTATATGCAAATATAATTTTTAAGACATATAATTTTATATAATATAAGAATAAATTTTTTTTTATGTATTTTTTGTATATCCTCTTTCTCTTTCTCTCTCTCTCTCTTTTTTTTGGAAAATGCGAAAAAAAATGTGAAATTTCAAATTTGCTCGAGTTTTGAAGAATTCTTCATGTTCTCTTATATGACTGAAGAAAAAATGTGGTTTTGTTGTGGTATATATATATATATATATAATAATGTTATCGATATTGTTTCATTGCTTAGTGATAAGTTGTTGCTTTCCGAATAGTTTTTGACTTGAGAAAAGAAAAAAAAATTTCACAAATCGAGAGATAATTTTCTTTTTTGTCTTCTACATATTTTTTTTACAAGTTAAGAGTTATTTTGCCGTATGAAAGAAAATACAAAGAAAAAGAATTTTATTTGCAAAATTAAAACTTATCGGAGCAATAGAGATAATATTTTTACAAAGCGTTCTTTACATACATAATGTCTCTATTAAGAATTAAACTATTATATTCGATAAAGTAAATTTTTTTTTTTTTTTGTTCGCGTTTTTGACGAGAAAAGAATAGTAAATGAGCTCTTTAAAACTCACTTTTTAAAAAAAAGAAAATAAATACTGAAATTTAAATTTCCAGTGTCAAATCCGTTTTCATTTAAAAATAAATTTTTTGTAATGTTACGAAAGAACAGATGGGCAACTTTGATCGTTAAGGTTTAATGTTTACTTTGTAGGAATTAGTATAAATCACTACGAACATAAAAAAAAGCCTATTATTTCAACTATACCACTGTAATCTTGAGTGTTACAAGATAATCGTAAGAGGAAAGAAAAAAAAATCACGAATATATTAATCATGGAAAATGCATTTTGCTTGACATGGGAAAAGATTTTTTTTCTGTACATAAAAAATGTACTCGTGATAGAATTATTGTAGAATTGAAGAGAAATGATAATTAGAGGAAGAAAAAAAAAGAAAACCGAATATAAAGAACGTTCGATTGATAATGTATTTATATTAATTTTTATATAATATAAAAAAAAGGATGTTAAATGTATGGGGAGTAATTAAGGTTTAAAGAAACATAATTATTAAAAAAGATGAAATAAATATTAATTATATTAATTTTAATATTATAGTCTACATATTATAATATCTATTATAAAATAAAATTGGGGAAAAAGATAATTCTTCTCTCCAATGGCATTCTTTATATTCTTTTTCTTGTGTAAGAATTTTTTTGTAAATTGTATACGCAAATTTTTACATGCGGCTCTCTTTTAACGATGTCAAGCAAAAAAAAAAAAAAAAAATGCGCATTTTCTATACGATTATGTTCTGATTAATAATTATATTCTTTATAGTCTCACGTTATTCAAAACACATATGTTTTTATTTCTCGTGGCGATTTTAAACGCGGTCACGTATGTATATATTACCTATGTTGATACCAGGATTAATAAAGAATTATAAATCACATTTAACTGTTTTTTTTTTTAATTTTAAAGCAACTTTTCTTTTACACTTAAATTGTTTTATTAAAAAAATCAGAGTGATTTTGGATTTAATTATTTGCAAAATTTTCAATTATTTTTAATGATTTTTATAATATTCTTCGAAAATTCAATTATCTGAAAGCATTTTTCAGTTAAAAACTTTTGAAATTCAATTTTTGTATGTGATTTCTAATAAATTCTTCATCAATAAAAAAATCACTAGAAATTTCTCTTATTATAATTATTATCTGAAATATAACACAATCTTTTGAAATTCAATTATTTTTAAAAATTTCATATTAAAAGCTTTTAAAATTTAATTATTTCTAAAATTTTCCATTTAAAATTTTTTGAAATTTAATATTTTCAGTTATAACTCTCCTGAAATTCAATTATTTTTAATTAAGTTTATAATATTCTTCGAAAATTCAACTATCTGAAACCATTTTTCACTTAAAAATGGTTTTCAAATTATTGTATTTTTGTGCATGAAAAAAAAATTTTTTTCAAAAAAAATAGTTTTTATTTATAATAAATGAAGCTTTAATGCTTAGTTTTTCTCAATAAATATAAGATGAATAAGTAGAAATAAAAACATTTAATAGTTTGAGAATTGAAAAATTAAATGATAAATAAATTTTAAGAATTTATAAAATAAAAGGACAGGACAGGTTCAATTAATTTTAAAAATCAAAAACTGTAAATTTTTGAAAATTCAATTAATTTTAAAAAATGTTATCTAAAATTATTTGATAAATTATTTTTAGTTGGGTAAAATTTAATTATTGTTTGTTTGAAAATTAACAAAATCTTTTGCAATTCAATTATTATTTCTAAAAATTTCAACTTTAATTCTTCCAAAATTATTATTATTTAAAAAAAAAATTATTTAAAAATCTGTAAAACTTTTTTAAGTATATTGCTTGAAATTTTTTTGACCATCAAAACTAAAAACTAAGACAATATTTTTAATTCGAATAAATTGCTCGAATAAGACTTCAAAAAATTATAAAAATGAAACTTTAAGAATTTTTTTCAATTAAATTTTATTAAAATAACAAAAATCGACTTTTTCGACTTTTTTTCAATCAACTAAAACGACCTTTTTTGTGCCTTAAAGTCGATCCGAGGTCTGTGCATTCATTTCTCAAAAAAATGTATTTTTAAAATAAGTGTCAAATTATTTTTTTGTAGTAGTGCATTATTAAAATTTATTAGAAGAATTAACATTAAAAAATAAAAAAGTTATGAATTTTCAGAAAAATAGCAATTTTTTGTGTTAAATTGTTAAATTATTTACCAAATTTTGACCGGGAAATATAGAGTATTGACTGGGAATTTATAATCATAAAAATTATGGCCATCCTGTCCTTTTATTTTATGAATTCTTAAAATTTATTTATCATTTAATTTTTCAATTCTCAAACTATTAAATGTTTTTATTTCTACTTATTCATCTTATATTTATTGAGAAAAACTAAGCATCAAAGCTTCATTTATTATAAATAAAAACTATTTTCATAGTTTTTACGCCGAAAGCGGACATTGAAAAAAATTATTTCAGAACTTGAAAAATCTAGAAGAGTCCTTGAATTTTTTTTTTTAAATTGCAGAACACCCTGAAAAATGTAATATTTGTATATAAATAAAAATTGGAAATTTCTTTTTTTTTAGAAACTATTTTATTGAAAACAACTTTTTTTTAAAAACAATAAATTACACTATTTACAATTTTCATGCACACTTTTTATAATTAATATTTTTTTTTTAGTATAAAAAATCGATTTACTTTTGTATTCGCATGATATTTATACTATTAACAATGAAAATCAATAAGATTTTGATTTTATTTACGCCAGTATTGTGCGAACTTGTGAAATTGTTCAACTAGCGCTGCCATTACGGCAGTGACTGATAAATCGAGAAGATTTTGTACATAATGCACTGCTTCCTCATCGCTAAGATCAAGTCTCAATTTATCTTGAACTTTCTTGACAGCTTTATCAGGTTCTAAGGCAATATCGGGAACACTTGCGTCAACCATTAATGAGAATAGATTTAAAATAAGATTTGCATGTCTACGTAAATGTAAAAATGCTGTGTAACATTGTTTTCTAAATTCATGATAATGATCTGAATTAACGCCACCCATTGCTTCAACCATTTCCTTACTCAATTTCATTGGTGGTGGAAGTGGTTTTGGATCTCTTCCCAAAATATAACCGAAATCAATGTGAAATAGTTTACCTGGAAAAAGCATTAATTTAAAAAAAAATAATAATAATATAATTCACACTAATAAGAGGGTTTGATTTTGACAACAAAACGTTTGTTGGTATTTAAGAAACCAAAATTTTTTTTGTTGCCTCAACAAAATTTTAATTGTCTCAATCAATATTTGGTTGACACAACCAAAATTAGAAAGAAAGGATTTTTGTTGTCTTAACTAAAGTTTGATTGAGACAACCAAAATTTGGTTGTCCAATACCAATCAAATATTTTATTATTAAAACTAAAACCTTTCTTCAGAGTTGAATTTTAATATTCCAATGAATTTTCAAATTATGACCGAAAATAAGGTTTTTATTAGCAAAATTAAAAGTTTAATGTTCAAATTCACTAGATTTTTTTTATTTTATATAAAAAATTTTGAAAAATTAAATTTACCTGAAGTTGTCAGAAGTAAATTGTCTAAGTGCCGGTCGCCAACTCCTAATACGTATGTTATTATACAATATCCAGCTAAAAATACAAAAAATTTTATCTCATTCGTTTTCTTATTACAACGATTGAATATCTTAAATTAAGTTAATTAAATATTCTTGTCAAAGAAATAATATGTGTTGTCAAAAAGAGTTCAAATTTTAATTAAATTATTGTTATTAACAAATGAATATTAAAAGCAAATTAATTTTTAAAAAAATATTTATTATAATAAATTAACTTTACTGTATTTTAATGAATTTTGTATATTTATAAACTATTTTTATATAAACCATATTTTGGAAAAATATCACATTAAGTCCTGGAAAGGTCATGGAATTTCGTTCGAGTGAAATCGTAGCAATATTTCAAAAAATGAATATAGTATAGATAAAGTGAATAGGAAAAAAAAAACTTACCACAACTTCTCACATACGTATCCATTACTTCAGAAGCAACACCATATGGACCCGTTTCAGAAGGATGATGTTTTCGAAAGAAACTCAATATAGATCCTTCACTTGCTAAAACTTCAGCGACAGTTGTTGACTCGATGAATTGTACAAATCCATGTCTTGTGCTCGTTGCTAAAACTCTAATTTTTTTTTTTAAACAAAATATATTCATTAATTCTTTCTTTCCATGTTAAAAGCAATATGTGAAATATTACATTTTTCCAGGCCTCGGATCGACTTTAAGGCACAAAAAAATCGTTTTAATCGATTTATATTCCAAAAAAGTCGAAGAAAGTCGATTTTTTTATTTTAACAAAATTTAATTGGTTAATGAATATTTTACTTTAAATAACTAATGTTATTAGATATTAAATTCATTTTATTAATTCTGTAATGAGAATAATTCTATAAGAATATTATCAAGAAAATTCATTTCGAATATTTCAGAATCGAACTAATTGTAAGACAAATTTTCAAAATTTTATTTAAGTAGGACAAATTTCTAAAAAAAATTCTTAAAGTTCCATTTTTATAATTTTTTGAAGTCTAATTTAAGCAATTTATTCAAATTAAAAATTTTTTCATAGTTTTTAAATTGGTCAAAAAAATTTCAGGCAATACTTAATCAAGTTTTACAGATTTTTAAATAAAAATTTTTTTTAAATAATAATAATATTGGAAGAGTTAAAGTTGAAATTTTTAAAAATATTTGAATTTCAAAAGATTTTGTTAATTTTTAGATAATAATTAAATTTTACAGAACTAAAAATAATTTATCAAATAATTTTAGATAAAATTTTTTAAAAGTAATTGAATTTTTAAAGATTTATAGTTTTTGATTTTTGAAATTAATTGAACTTCAAGTGATTTTTAAATTAAAAATTTTTGATGATTTCACTAAAAAATTTATTAGAAATTTCAGACAAAAATACAATAATTTGAAAACCATTTTTAAGTGAAAAATGGTTTCAGATAGTTGAATTTTCAAAGAATATTATAAAAATTATTAAAAATTTTTTTAATTTCAGGAGAGTTATAATTGAAATGATTAAATTTCAAAAAATTGTAGATGGAAAATTTTAGAAATGCATAATTAAATTTTAAAAGTTTTTAATATGAAATTTTTGAAAATAATTGAATTTCAAAAGATTGTGTTTTTCAGACAATAATTATAATAAGAGAAATTTCTAGTGATTTCTGTTGATGAAGAATTTATTAGAAATCACATAAAAAAATTGAATTTCAAAAGTTTTTAATTGAAAAATTTTTTCAGATAATTGAATTTTCGATAAATATTATAAAAATTATCGAAAATAATTAAAAATTTTGCAAATAATTAAATTTCAAGTGATTTTGAATTAAAAATTTTTGGTAATATTATTTGCTAATTTTTAAAAAATTATAAACAATTATTAAATTTCCTAAAAATTTTAATTGAAAAATAGTTGAAGATAATTGAATTTGTGAAGAATTTCATTAAAATTTTCAAAAATAATTATTTTAGTGAAGAATTTTAGTTAAAAATTTATTAAATAATTGAAACAAAGAAGATCTGCATTGTATACTAAAAGAAAAGAATTTTGTTTAAAAATTTGTTTTTAAAATGTAAAAAATAGTCGAATAAGTCGGATTTTATTAAAATAAGTCGAAAAAAGTATAATCCAAGGCCTGTTTTTTTGTTTTTTTTTAGAAATAATTGAGTAAAATTGAAAATTTCTAAAATAAATATTTTAGAAATATTTACCTGTAGGGAGTTAATTTCAAGTCTAAATTCTCTCGTCGTAAAAGTTTATCCATCAACGCTATTGTTTGCAAAATTAATTGATCCTGTCGTAGGTCATCTCCATGCTTAAAAATTGCAATATATTCACTATTTTCCGTTGTGAGGAATGTTAGTTTTGACGGCATCAGCGCCGATTTAAAAAGACTTGCCCTTAAAAAAAAGTACACAAAAACTAGATTTAAAAAAAAATCAATCAATTTTTAAACTGAAAAATTGAGAAATTATTCTACTATATTAATTTATCTCAAAATAAAAATTGACTTTCTTTTATAAATAATATGTTAAAATAAATAAATTATAATAATTATAATTTTGAAAAATAACCCAAAATCTTTTTTTTTTGTTTTGAATTAAACTCACTTTTCTGGAATAATTCCTTTGATACAAATTTCTGGATCCAATGGAAATGGAATTGGTTCAAAATTGGAGAAATTAATTTTAAATGCAGGATCAGGATCCGCCAGTAGTGCTTTAAGACGATCTGTTTTTCGTTTTCGATTACCACTTTCACGTGCAACATCCTTAACAAGTGACACCAATTGATCGATGAAAATTTTTTGCCGTTTCAAAAATGCTCGTCGCTTTTGCCAAATTGCATTTCCCCGCGCAAGAGCATTTGAAAACATTGCCATAACAGTCAAATACATTTCTCGAACACGAGTATCTTGTTTGACAGTTATCGCTGGATCTGGTTGTTCTTCACATTCAATTGATAGATACCAATAAAAATAATTGGCCAACATTGAATTTTGACATGCACGTGTTATTAAAAATGACGCCAAATCCATGGGTTGTTCATGATTTGATGACAATTGTGATTCAGTCGACTGTGAAAAACAAAAATTAAAAAAATAACAATTTTCCTCTGAACAATTAAAATTATTGAAAATACATTTATTGAGTGACAACTATTTTTAAAAAAAGGAAAATAATCAAAAATCCAATTTGATTTACTGAATATTGGAATATTTATGTTTAACCGTTTTAAAATGTCTATTTTAATTAATTTAAAATCACAAATTATAAGAAAAATTTATTTCAAATTTTTTCAGATTAATTAAATTTTTTATTTATTTTCCGATTTTCAAAATTTAGTACCAAAAAGAAAAATGACTCTTACCGTTGTTAATTGTGTCGTGTGAGATGAAGATTGATCATTTGCCTTAAAATCTTTGTCGAATTTCTCATTTTTTTCACTATCCTTATCCTTAACAAGACTTTCATTTGCCGCCTTGATACTTTCGAAATCTTCATATTTCAATGCTTGCACTAATTGCAATAGATAAAGCATAAGATCATCATCGGGCGCATGATTTAATCGTCCAATTGCATATCTTCTTACAGCTGGATATGTAAAAGCTGGTCCAAGAAGTTCTAGTGCATCTTCTGGATCTGGTGGCGCCCACAATGAAAGCATCTCCAATGCCTGACGTTCTTCGCCAGTCACTTTCCAATTGACACATTTCACAAATTTTGTCAACGCCTTTTTTTGCGTCGACAAATAAAATCGAAATTTCCATATTAAATCCTGTTCCTCCGTTGATAGTGCCGTTGTTGGTGGATATGACAAAATTGTATTTAATGCATCGCGAACATTTGATGTTGGTTTCAATTCTCTTGTATTTCCACCACTACGCAAACTACGAGCTAATTTATGATGTTTTGCTTCAACAAGATTTTCCTTAAAATCACAAACAATTTTGTTTTTAATTTACATTATTAAATAATTAAATAAATTTTAAGAAAATACAAAATTTAAAAATTATAAACATAATTAAAATAATAACATAATAAATATTTTCAAATGTTAATTTAGTGATTTTAGATTTTCAATGTTTTCGATAATATATTCGAATTTACCTGATTTGAATTATTACACTGATAAACATAATAAAACTCATTGACTTTATTATCTTTTGAGAAATCTTTAAAAATTGTTTTCACAAATTTGACAATTCTTCTTGCAATGTCCGATAGCAATGTTTGTATATTAGTTAACCATTTAAACATCTTACTTTACTTATAGCAAGTACGGCTTCAGATTAACTTATAGGTCGCAGTCTATTTTCTTACAAATTGCTATACGTGTCTTTATCTTTCTCGGCTACCTTATCATTGAAACGAATGTCAGCATTTATTTGCATTCTCCTTTAGTATTCATATTTCTAACACCTTTATGTAATTTGTTTTCAGTAAAGAAGAAAAATAAATAAATAAAAATAAAAGAAAATTGAATAGAAAATTATTATTTTTTTTTATAAAAATTATAATAACAAATTTTCTTCTTTTTTCTGGTAAAAAATCTTTTTTCAGCAAAACTGTGATGCAAATGTATTTTTAATAAATATTTACATTATCTGACAAATTTTTTTTTTTTTGTTAATTTAATGATGTGTTTATTAAAAGGATTTAAATAATTAATTTGATTAAAAGAAATCAATTTTATATTTAAATTGAGCAAATTTACTTACTTGTAAGATTTCATAATCTGGCAATGTAACAACGTCTGGCTGTGATCTATGTTGTACCACTTCATCGCCATCTTTTTCATAATAGACAATTGAATACTGCAATAAAAATTTACAATAATTTACAAATAATTTAAATCATTTATATATTTACAATAATTTTACAGAAAATAAAAAAAAATTGTACAATAGAAAATTTTACAAAATTATAATTTAAATAAAAATATTTATGTAAAAAAGAAAAACATACCGAAACACCGTCCATTGTGACTTCGGGAAATTCGACCATTAGATAAAGATATTCGGATGCACGTTTCTCGCGTTCATTTATCAATTCAATTTCACGGAATGTTAATCGATCGAGCCAATCGATTTTACTCATTTGTCCATTGCGATGTTTTTTAGCGAGTTTTGCTAATCTTTGCATTTGTTCTTTTCCATGATCACGTGCTTTACCAGGAGTCGCTGACAAATCACAACCATTCGCCTCAATTCCCGGCCATACTTTTAAATCCAACATACCCTGACGAAAAACTCCATGTTTACCAAATAGGGAAATTGTTGTGCCACCAACTGGAATTTGTTGACCAGGACCCGCACAATCATATAATGTTATACATAATTGAGCATCACGAGGTAGATCTGAATATGATATTGGCAAGGTCACCCATTGGTTCCAACTGGAAAATTATTTATTAAATTCTAATTAATAACAATTATTATTTAATTAAATATTTTTTAAATTGTTTTTATTATTATAAAATTTTCAATTTTTCAAGAAAAATCAAATAATTATAATTAGAATATTATTTTTATTGAAATAATAATAATTAACTAGTATTAAAAAATATATAAATTATTACAAGGTTAGCACAAAATTTTCATTATAATTTTCCCTCATATTTCCCTTCCTTCCAGACCATATTTTTTGTTTTTCTTTGACATTTTCAATTTTTTTATTTTTTTTTCAAACAAATATGAATTCTATTAAAAAAATTGTAATAAATGAAAATTCGATTGAATGAAAATTATGTTAAATAAACATTTTATAAAAAACAACTCAAATTCTTATAAAAAAATTCAATTACATTGTATTTTCAAAATTTTTAATGAAATTCTTTTTAAAAATTCAATTATTTTCAAAGCCAAAAAAAAAAATTAATATTTCCTTTTGCTGATGATTTTGTATGTTTTTTAGAACCTAAATGACACAAAAAAAAAATTAAATATTCCTGTGATCATTAAAATTTAAGGAACTCAAAATAAAGATGGTGTTTTTCCTTAAATTTTAATAATTCAAGGTATTCAAGGAATTTCATGGTCCACTGGGACACTCTAATTAATTTTATAATTTTGAATAAATTCTTCGATAATTGAATTATTTTTGCAATTTTTAGTTTAAAATCTTTTAAAAATAGAAAAACTGTTAAAACTATTAATTAAAACTCTTTCAATTTTGATTTATTTCTATTATTCTATATAATTATGTTATTTATAAAAAAAAGTAAACTAAAACTATTTGAAAATTTTATCATTTTCAAAAATTTCAATAAACTTCTACAATAATTTAATTATTTAAGCAATTACCAAAATTTGCAAAACATAAAGAGTTATTCAATTTTCCCTAATTTGCATATTAATTAACATTTTGTAGTTGGAAATTATTTTAATTTTCTGAGACAATTGATTTTTTATTCAAGTAAATAAAATGTAATAATTTCTTTATAAATTTATGAATTTATTTAATTTTTTTCAGTTTTCTGATATAAAAATGTAAAATTATGAACACATATATTTTATTTAATTCAAATTAAATTACGCTGAAGTTCAAAACGTTTAAGATCAACGATTTTTAAAGAAATTTTTTTTTAATGAAAAATTCTATGAATGATCGTCTTAAAAATATTTTTTGCAATGTTTAATGATCAACAAATTAAAAAATATGTTTTTATAGATAAAATATTTTATAATTTTCCATCTTTAAAAAAAAGACGTTGTGGACTTCAGTATCGTCTAATTAGTATTCTTTTCGTTAATTTAGTTTTAATTTTTTTCTAAATACCTACAAAATTTTTTTAAAAAGCATACAAAAGTTAATAAATAAAATTTCAGTAAATTTCCGTTAACTAATTTAATCAGTCAAATTTAATTACTTTTATAAAGAAGAATTAGTCATTTTATTTTACTAGTAATTAGTTATTTATCACTATAACTGATACAATAAAAAGTCAGTAAGAATTTTATTAAAAAAAAAAAAAAAAAAAAAAATTGTTCACTCTTCTACTGTAAGTGTAAATTATTTTTTTTTTATCTAAAGATACGAAAATATAAATTTTCTTCAATTGTTTGTCAACATTTTCCTTAAAAAAAAAAAAATTGTTAAAATAATTAAAATTACAAGAGTGAACTTATAACCTTGAATTTAATTATCGTTTTGATATTTTCGTAAATTTTCAACTTACTTTTATAAATTCAATGCGTCTTTCAAGTTTTAAGAAAAAAAAATTATTATAAAGCAAATGTAATTATAAATATTATAACAAATTTTATTTTCTAGTGTAAAAATTGATTTAATTTAGTTCGATTTTTCAAAGCAAAACATAACAAATTCCAGAATGATTTCGAGCATTCTATAAAATTAAATACGTGTTAATCTTCTACAAGTTTTTAACGTTAAAGTGAACAAACTTACAATTTCTTTAATGTCAATTTTTTTTATAAATTGTTATTTTTTGTATCAAAAAATAAATTAATAATTTAATAGATGTTTAATGTATTTATTTTACATTGCAGTAGTAATTTAAAAGAATTTCTTAATCAAAATAATAATAATAAATTATAATTATAATAATAATTTCAATAATTTTTATAATATTCTTCGAAAATTCAATTATCTGAAAGCATTTTTCAATTAAAAACTTTTGGAATTCAATTTTTTTTATCTGATTTCTAATAAATTCTTCATCAACAGAAATCACTAGAAATTTCTCTTATTATAATTATTGTCTGAAATTTAACACAATCTTTTGAAATTAAATTATTTTCAAAAATTTCATTTTAAAAGCTTTTAAAATTTAATTATGTATTTCTAAAATTTTCCATCTAAAATTTTTTGAAATTTAATAATTTCAATTATAACTCTCCTGAAATTCAATTATTTTTAATGATTTTTATAATATTCTTCGAAAGTTCAACTATGTGAAACTATTTTTTGCTTAAAAATTTTTCAAATTATGGTAATTTTATCTGCCATTATTAATTAATTTTTTAATAATAATTTAATAGATGTTTAATGTATTTATTTTACATTGCAGTTGTAATTTAAAAAAAATTTCTTAATCAAAATAATAATTTCGTTAATTTTTGAACGTTTAGAATTTGAGGCACATTGTTTAAATTAAAAAGTGTTCTTACTTCCATCGAGATGTAAAATGTTTATAGGCCGTATGAACAGGTAAGGCAAGAGCTCTTCCACCAGCCCAAACTTGTAATGAGGCTGCTAAATCGCCTTTGCCACCGCGTTCTCCATACAATCCTGAATATTTGAGCATAGGATCTTCCAACAATTTATCATATTCGGGTCTTTGCCTCTTTCCTTCAAGTGTTCCTCTAAAAGAGACCATCAAATATGTAAATTACTTTTTATAAAACCAATTTGTCATTCTTCTCCCAAAAAAAACGAACACATGTTCTACTAATTAAAAACAACATTGTATATTCTAAAATCTAATATTAAAATTATCAAATAATAAAAACAGAACATTAAAATATTCCACAAGATCAAATTAGAAATATAGGATAATATAAATTTAATATTTATAAATTATACTTAATACTATATTATTGTATGAAATTGCGTTGTATAGAAAATAATTCATGATAATAAGTCGTGGAAAAGTTACGCAATGTGATAATAAAAATTCTCGAAGTTCAAGAAACTTTAATTAAAACAAAATATGTATTACTCATACCTATCTCCTATCGTTAAAAAAACAAAAAGAAATTAATTTTCAACACAACTGTATGGAAATCTTGCAAAAGAGGATTATAATTAATCTAAAAATATATATGATCACATACATTTTTATTTGTATTCTCGTCTCAAGTGAAGAACTGTATACGTAAAGGAATTTATCGCTCACGTCTTCCATTGTTGTTGTTGTTGTTGTTCGCCTCTCCTATGAAATGATTCTCGAAAATTTCAATTCCTAGCATATCTATCTTAACCGACAAGAGATTATTAGTCGAGTACTTTTTAATATTTTAGTATATATGAACACATTTGCATATAAATATCACCACTATTTTGTATCACTTACAGATGATTTCTATTATTCCAGCAGAACACTGTTATAACAGAAGAGAAATATATTTTTTTTCTTATATGGAATAAAATATTTTTGTTATCTACGTATGTATAATTATCAGATAAATAATAATTTAATCTTGATTATTATTAACTTGCGCATTTCACTCGATGTTATTGCTAGGATTTTGAGTTTCTTTTTAAATTAAAAAAAAAAACAAATTCGTGTATACTGTTATGCACTCAAACCATTTAAATTGACAAGTTAAAACAATATAATAAATGAACGTACCATATTGTAGAGAAAATATGTGTATAATTAAAAACTTAAGACACAGATTGAAGAAATAATTATTCAATGTTTATAGGTTAAAAAGAAACTTTATTGTTATTATTATGTATAGATTTGGTTTTCATATGTATTTGTAATGTATGTATGTGTAGATACTGTTATGCAGAGATGGGAATGTAATTTGTTAATTTACAGTATTTTACCGCGACTGTACCCTTAGGTCTTTTCGTTGCGCGCGCATCTTTCATTCGAGTTATACGTTCGCAACCCTCACTGCAACCCTGGTCACATTTTGGAGTTTCTATACATGTTCCCTGTGGAACAGACCTAAGGCTTTCTACATTACCATAGGAGCAGAAGCATAAAGTGATTCTGTTATTGGTTTGTCATTGTTTGTCATGGCATTTATGCACATGTAATTAAAAATTTATTATTTTTTAATGAAGTCTAAATTAAATATTCACTTATTTTTTAAAAATCGTTTCTTTTGCCTATAAAAATTAAAATTTTCTTATTCATATAGAAAACAAAGTTTTTTCATATTATTAAAAATAATAAGAATAATCATATAATTCGTATTATAAAAAATTATTTAAATTAATTTAATTAATTAAATACTAAATAAATAAAAACACAACCCCTCTTATAAATAAGGATTTATTCTTATTCTATTAATATAATTCTTACAAAATTTTAAAAAAGGTGTCATTTTCTCACATTTTTTTAAAAAATTTTGTATTTAATTTAAAATTTTTTTAAATTATTTGATAAATTATTTTTAGTTCGGTAAAATTTAATTATTGTCTGAAAATTAAAAAAATGTTTTGAAATTCAATTATTTTTAAAAATTTCAACTTTAACTCTTCAAAAATTATTATTAAAAAAGTAAATTATAAAACTTGATTAAGTATTACCTGAAATTTTTTTGACTATCAAAACTAAAAACTGTGACAAAATTTTTAATTCAAATAAATTGATTAAATCAGACTTTTAAAAAATTATAAAAATGGAACTTTAAGAATTTTTCTTAGAAATTTGTCCTGTTTAAATAAAATTTTGAATAAATAAATGATTTTTTTAACTTGGATAACAATTAATTAATTTTTTTCAGTGAAATATTTGGTTTTTTAATATAAATTAATTAAATTACATTTAACTAAAATTCGATTCAAAAGAATTTCTATTCAGCAGAACTCTTATAAAGCATTTTTTTTAATACTTTTTAAAAATTTTAAATTAATATACCTAATTTCAATTTAACGAAATTTATGTCTATAAAAATTGACAAAAAAAGAACTAAGTAGAATTTTTCTTAAAAGAGAATTCTGTTAAATAAGAATTAGTTCGAATTAAAATTTTCTTTAATAAAAACTTTGTTAATTAAAAATTTTGTTAACTAGAAATTCTGTTAATTGTGGATTTATTCAAATGACAATTCTGTTAAGGAAATATTTTGATAAATCGGAAATTAACAAAAATAACAATTTTGTTAAAAAAAATTTTCTTGACATAAATTCCGTGAAATTGAAATTGTATTAATTTGAAATTCGATGTACTAGAAAATCTGCTTTATATAATTTAACTAAATAAAAATTTGATAATTTAAGATTTGACGCCGTAAAAATTCTTTTAAATTAATTGTTGAGAATATTTATACGTCCCCAATTAGTTTATTTATTTCACTTAAATATTTTATTTTTTACGAAACATTATTTATTTGGTTTAAATACATATGAAATTAGTGGATAATAGACAGGTAAATGATTTCATTGTATCAAAATAAATTTTATTTGATCAAAATAAATTCGATCCAAGACCTGAAATGATAGAAATTACTCACTAATAGAAATTTAGGAAATATGTATCGATATTTCCAAGAATTATCGCTAAGCTTCGTGGAATATTTGATATTATAAGGAAGGATTATAAATTTATAAGAAAGGAATATAGTTTAAGTAAAAACAAGTTAATTAATATTAAAATAATTTAATTTCGTATAAGATAGATAACAACAATGCTGACAGAAATGCAACACTTGTCAATAATAGCTGTAAAATAAAAATTTAACTTAACGATTGGAAGTTTGATGTAATTAATACACATTTTTAAAATTAAAAAAAAAAATATCGATTAAATATTTCTTCTCATGTACTCTCTCATTAATCTAGAATTCACTTAGTGTTCACAAAATAGTGTTCCTTCCTTTGAGGGTCACAATTATTATTATTATTATTTTTTTTTGTTTTAAATACTAATCTTGTATATCAATTGCGTGCAAAACGTATCTGTCGCAAGTTTAACGTAAATTTTCAAGTTTATAACATTTTTTTTAAATCTATTGATACGTCGAAATTTTGCACATATATTCAGGAATTTTTTTAAAACCAACGGCATAATCTCAATTTAAAATAGTACCTATTCATAAGAGTAAACAGAAAAAATTTAGATAAATTTTAATATCAAACTAAATTTCAATTAGATAAATATATTGATGTTTATTCTTTTTTCAAAATGTGTTGAAATTTAAGTTTAAATTTCTGATATTTTATTTTACGTCTATGAAGTTTCTATTGGTTTGAGATTTTGTCAGTGGATTAAAATTCATAAAATATAATAGACGAAGAGAAACTTATTCTAGTACATTTTTCAGAATTTCTAGTAAAAATTCCTCTTTCTTTGTCAAAAAATACAAGTTATCTAATTTAATCAAAAATATTTATTTTTTTTCTCTCTATAAATTTTATTTTATTAAAAAAAAAGTAAAAAATTTGAATCTCCAACTTTTTATATCGTAAAATTCAAAAATATTTGGTATTTAAATTTTGGTTATATTAATGATAATATTAAATTATAAACTTTTTGATTAAATTGAATAATTTGTATTTTTTAACCCGAACATTTCATGAAATTTTGACCAATTTTATAGCGCCACTCCATAGTGTATTTCACACAAAGTTTCTAGGCCGCAATTTTTTTTTTAATTGAAAAATAATGAATTGAAGAAAAAAATACTTTTTAAAAATTAACTCTCTCCATGAAATATAATTACGGACTGTAAATTTTTTTTTTTAAATATTCCCAATAAAATTCTTGGACACGTGAAAAAGACACAATTTTTTTTACATATTTTAAAAATATTCATCAAATCAAACTGTAAATTAGATAATTCTAAAATACACTCTATAGTCAAATCTTGTTGAGTTCCAGTCTTGGATTAAAATTAAATGTATTTTTATAAAACTAGATTTAAAAATATTTCAAGTTTATATGGCAAAGATAAGCACATTTTTCGTTTCATTATTTTGATTAATACAAAGTCTTGAGTGTTGCACATAGATTCTTGAATTATTATTGATTGTATTATTATTATTATTATTATTTTTTTTTTTGAGAATTTAACTTAATCATTGACTAACTAATTAGTTTTTCATTATTAATTCTCAAATTAATTTCCTTTCAATTGCTTTCAAATAAATAAGTACTTTGAATTTTTGAATCCTAAGTTTTTTTTATAATTGTTTTGTAATTAAAAAACAATTTGATTCTTTAAACAACTTCAAAACTGGCCTTCGTGTTCGATGACGCTTTACATAACAATAATCTCGTATTGCATTCACTTTTTTTTTACTTAAAAATTATCTATCATTAAAAAAGCTCAGTCGATCTTAGAAAAAATTCTACATAACACATCAGCCTCGAGCAAATGAAAAAAAAGAGAAAATTACTTTTTATTAATCTTACAATTTCAATAATTTAATGTTTATAATTAATAAAATTAAATTCATATAATTTAAAATCTCTATAATATATTTATAGCAGAACAAAGGAATGATTTAAAGTAAATTTAAAATTTGTAATTAGAAATAAATTTGAGATTCAAACACAATTAACATTGTAGAAAAAAGTTGACATTACAGAGTTTTGTAAAATGTCAGATTCTAAAAGATTTATAACAATTTTTTTTCACTTTTAGATGAAAAAAAATTTTTGTAAAATTAAAGAAAAAAATTAAAAATAAATTCGAAAATTTGTAGTTGATAGAAATTTTCTAATAATTTACAGGAATAATGTTAATATGATTTAGAATTTTTCTACATTTTTTTTATTTTTATTTTATAAATTTAGAAATGAAGGATATAAATTTTTTTCGCCCTTTAATTTGATGGGGGGGGGGGAAAACTTTGTGTTGACTTTTAGAATCGGACGTTTCAATTGCGTCAACAATTATTATTATTATTCTTATTATTATATTATTATTTGTCCTCCATTCAAACGCTTACATACACACTTATATGTATAATATACTGAATCTGTGCAGTCTGTGAGATAGTCGCAATTTTCAAGTTAATTATTATATATATATATATATATGTTCTCTTAACAATAAGCTAAAGTTACAACTAACTTTACAAGCTTAAGAATACTCTTCGCTGTGACTTGAAATTCGAAAGAGTAATTTTACAGATAACTGTAGATATACGCATTAGAAGAGTCGAAACCAACTAATGGTTGATGATCCAGTGGTCACGCGAATTTTGTCGAATCTGGATAATCTTCAGCGTTTCCTGCGGCAGCATTAACAGCATTAATTGGTGGGACAACCAATGAGAGTGCTCGAACTTTAGCTGCCCAAGCGTCATCGTTTGCAAGAACCCTATAAAAACATTTACATTTTAATTCCATTTTTAAAGGAATTTTAAAATATTTAAAGTTATTTTTCAATATTTTAAAAGAAATTTAACATATTTCATTCCCGGAAATGGAAACCTCAAGAAGAAAGTATTTAATTGATATTTAAAAATTGATATATAATTAATTAATAATATCCACTGGAAGAACAAATATTATTTTTCAAGAAAATAAATTAAATTATTTATTTATAAATTTTGCATAATATGATCAAAATTTTCTTCAATATTGCAGGCCTCGGATTATAGGAATTTTTCGACTTTTTCCGATTTTTTTTTTTTAAATACGACTTTTTTCGACTTATTTTAATAAAATGCGACTTTTTTTTTGACTTTTTTTTACATTTTTTAAAAAAAATTTTAAACAAAATACGTTTTTCCAATATACAATGCAGATCTTTTTCAGATCTTCTTTATTTCAATTATTTAACAAATTTTTAACTGAAATTCTTCACTAAATTAATTATTTTTAATAATTTTAATGAAATTCTTCACAAATTCAATTATCTTAAACTATTAATCAATTAAAATTTTTATGAAATTTAATAATTGTTTATAATTTTAAAAAAATTAGAAAATAAAATTACAAAAAATTTCTAATTCAAAATCACTTGAAAATTAATTATTTGCAAAAATTTTGTCAATTTTCCATTTAAAATTTTTTGAAATTTAATAATTTCAATTATAACTCTCCTGAAATTCAATTAGTTTTAATGATTTTTATAATATTCTTTGAAAGTTCAACTATCTAAAACCAATTTTCGCTTATAAAGTTTTCAAAATTTTTGTATTTTTGTCTGCAATTTCTAATAAATTTTTTAATATAACAGAAATCATCAAAAAATTTGAAATTAAAAATCACTTGAAGTTCAATTAATTTCAAAAATTTAAATTGTAAATCTTTGAAAATTCAATTACTTTTAAAAAATGTTATCTAAAATTATTTGATAAATTATTTTTAGTTCTGTAAAATTAAATTATTGTCTGAAAATTAACAAAATCTTTTGAAATTCAATTATTTATGAAAATTTCAACTTTAACTCTTCCAAAATTATTATTTAAAAGAATAATAATACAGAATTAATAAAATCAATTTAATATCTAATAACATTAGTTATTTAAAGTAAAATATTTATTAGCCAATTAAATTTTGTTAAAATAAAAAAAATCAACTTTTTCGATTTTTTTGGAATATAAATCGACTTTTTCGATTTTTTCTGTGCTTCCTTCCTTCATTTTTTTTTTTTTAATGATCCGATTCAAATAAACTTATTTTCTTTCGAAAATAATTCTTAACATTTTCACAGGGATTTTTAAACAAGTACACCGTGTTTTTAAAAATATTATTATTTATTTAAATTTTTAATTTCTTTAAACAAATAATCATATTATCTATTAAGAAACGGACACTTATTTAAAAATCCCAGCGGTGAAGATATTGAGAATTATTTTCTAAAAAAAATAAGTTCATTTAAATCCGATCATTTAAAAAAAAATAAAGGGAGCGATATGAAGAAAATTTTGATCATATTATGGCAAACAAGATAAATAAATAATTTTAAAAATTTTAATTTATTTTCTTGAAAATTTATATCCGTTCATCGAGCGGATATTATTAATAATAATATTTTAATTTTTTAAATGTCAATTAAAAATTTTTTTCTTTCTGGATATAACAACTTCAGTTGTTTGAGGATATTTAAATACAAATTGGAAATATTTAAAATTATCTTGTAATACTTCAATAAATATTCTTTTATTTTAAAGTATTTAGATCTAAAATTAAAATAAAGCGAGTAAAAAAGTGATTTTAAAATTAATTAAACAATCACACTCTAAACGCTTTCAATGAAAGTAAAGTCAAATTGAGTAAAAGAGGAAATAAATGAAATTACAAGTAAACAGAATCGAGATTAGAGAGAATATTTTAAAAGTGTGAAAAAATTATGGAATAGAAAATAAATATGACATTATAATTACTAAAATTTACCAACATAAATATATGGAGGAATGTATTATAAAACTAATACAGCTTTATATAAAAGCACAGCGGAATTTAATCATAAAGATAATTTCAAAAATGTCCCCATTCTCAACATAGAGAGTGAGTGGAAAAACAGAAATGTTATCCAAATATTTTACATTGTAATGCTTAGTAATTACGCAAATTTTTTGATCTGAGACGAAAAATTCATTTATTATGATATCATTAATTCTAGTAAAAATTAAAGTAATTAAAAAAATATAAGGTATAAAAAGTTAAAAATTTTATAATCTGAGATTAAAATAATAAAATTCATTATAACCTTGAAATTATATTACAATACACTTATGAGTCATTCTTTGCGTACTCATCCTTTAAAATTATTGGTTTGGCAATTATTTTTCGGTAAATTATTGTTCTATTTAAGAGTAAAAAATTCCTAAAATATTAGCAGTTGCCAAAAACAGTTTTTTCAAAAAAAAAAAAAAAAAATTTTAACTTTGAAATTTTTTTTTGTGATTTTCATTGGAAATCTGAGATTTTTTTCAATAAAATATGTAAAAATAGAATATTGGACAACAATGGGTTTGCGAGAAAAATATAAAATAACACATTTTTTTCTCCTGTTTTTCACATTTTCTCGTAAATTCTTTTGTTGTCGCATTTTTATATTTAGACCATTTGTTTAAATAAATCTCAGTTTTTCAATAAAAAATAACAAATTTTTAAAGAGGAGCTATGATATCACGTAAATAAAAAATAAGATTTAATTGTGAAAATAATCGGTTTGAAAAATGTTTTTTTTGAAAAAAGTTTTTTGAGATTGAAAATATGATTTTTAAGATAAAAAATTATTATTTTTATATTCCTGAAAATAGTAGGAAAGTTTTTTAAAATATTTTTTTATTATCATGAAATATTCTTAATATATCTTTTATCTTAAAGTAATTGAAAATTTCCAAAAGAAGTTGAAGTACTTTGATTAAAAAAAATTAAATTTTCTTTAAATAAAATTTGTCATTAAGATATGCCAAAGGAAAATTTCAATAAAAATAGTGTGAATTTAAAACGTGTAAAATGATGAAAAAATTTTTGTTCAATGAAATAAATAAATAATAGTTGAATTACTTTCGAGTGTTGTCGCTGACTATTTTGTCAGGTGCTCCATAATTTGGTGGATTTGCATAAGGATCATATCCAAGTACCGACAACATTGGCGCAATATTTGCCATCTCATCTACGACGTCCTTAGGGATATGACCGACCCATTTCGTCAAGGCCTCTAAATTTACTGGCTTAATAACTTGATCCGATGATCTTTCGACTCTAAAATAGTAATAAAAATAGATTTTTTTTATTCTTTATAATAATCTATTATCGACCGAATTCGCATCTCAAATCATGCAGTAAAGTCTGATAAAAATATTGACAAGTAACTTGAGAATAAAATATGTTTTTTGACTTAAAAAATAATTTTTTTTTTATTAATTATAATTTGTCATATTAAATTAATCATCTCGATGAGAATCGATAGAAAATAAAATCTCCCAATAACTTTTCAATATATTGATATAATCAGTGAGTTTAAAAACTTTTTAAAGTATAAAAATGAAAAAAAATTTTAATTCCAGAGAATATTGAATGTGAGAGGAGAAATGTGTTCAAATATGAAATTGCTTATTGCATACTCAATTCGATGTTTGAAGAAACTTGAGATGCGAATTCACTATAACATCAATCAAAACTTTTTCAAGTCTGTCTTCATACTTACTTGCTGAGCGGAACTCCACCAGGTTTATTGATGAATTCTTCATGGTGAAGTACTGACTCGTTCCATGGTACATCCAAGAAACCGAGAATTTTCTCCATCCACACACGAGGATGAAGCACCAATTGCTCGTAAGGAACCATTAGGCAACGATCGCTTCCAACGTCTTTGCATTGATTGTACATTGTGGAAATAGCAACATTCCACTTTGTTAAACATTGTCTATAGGATGTTAAATCGAATCCTGTTATTGTCACCTGAAAAATGATAATAGTTTTTTTTTATTTTTAATTATATTTAGAATATGTTTTAGTAAATTATTAACATTTTTTACTTTTGACAAAACAGGGTTGCCACGGGTCAGGGAAATTATGGAAAAGTCAGGGAAGTTTATGAAAAGTACTGGAAAAATATCAAATTTCTAAAAATGCTACTAAAATTATAATTTTTTAAATTTTCCATTCAAACTTTTGCTTCTAAAAATTATTGTCTTACATTTTTATAATTGTAGGCCTTGGATCGACTTTTGAAAGAAAAAAAAGTCACTTTAGTCAATTTAGATAACAAGAAAAGTCTAAAAAGTTCATTTCTTTTGTTTTGAATAAATTTAATTAGTTGATGAATATTTTACTATTATTAACAATTTGTTATTAGAAAATTAAATAAAATTTATTAATTCCATATTAATAAAAATGTTTCACATAAATATTTTCAAGAATTTTCTTTTTAAACCACCGAATTCTGAGACAAATTTTCAAGATTTCAATTTAGTTTCAGAACAAATTTTGAAAAATAATTTAAAAAAAAGAAAATTTTTCAAGTCTGATTTATGAACATTATTTGAAATCAGAATTTCGGGAAATGTATTAAATAATTAAATTTTCGAAGAATTTGATTAAAATATTATTGAAAAAAAAATTAATATTAACTGAAAATTTGTGAAATAATTGAATTTGAAAGAGTTTGATTAAAAATTTTTAGAGATAATTGAATTTCAGGAGATTATCAATTAAAACTTTTATAAATTTGAATTAATGAAATTTTTTTTATAAATTTCAGACAATAATTGAATTTTAGAGAATTTTCAACTAAAATATTTTCTAAATAATTGAATTTTGATGGAGTTACAGTTAAGATTTTTAGAAATTTTTTAGAATTGCATTTTTGAGATTTCAAAAATTAAAATTTATTTGTTGTGAATGTAAAAATTTATTAAAAAAACGATTTAAATAATTGTATTTTAAAAAAATTGAATTAAAACTGTTCAAATAATTAATTAAACAAAGAATTATATAAATACAAATTTGGGAAAAAATTTTTCCATTGAATTAATATTCAATTAATTATTCAATTACTAGGTAATTGAATTTAGAAGAGTTCGAGTTAAATTTTTTTTTTGAAGTAATTAAATTTTAAAAGATTTTAAATTGAAACTTTCATAAATTTTAATTGATAAAATTTTCTTTACAAACCTTTAAAAATAATAGAATTATAGAGTATTTTTAATTAAAAAACAATTTATTTCCCTGAATTGTTGAAAAATTCTATTAAAGTAATGAAAAAATTAATTTAGCCAAGAATTTCAAATAAAATTTTTAGAAATAATTGAATTATAAAGAATTTTTAATTGAAAAATGTTTTAAAATTTTAATTTTTGATTTTTAAAATTTTCAATTAAAATTTTAATAAACTTGAATTATTGAAATTTTTTAAAAATTATGTAAACAAAAATTTAATTTTAAAGAATTAATAATTAAAAAATGTTTTATGTAATTGAATTTTTGAAAAACGATTAAAGTTATTAGAAAGAATTAATTCAAAAAGAAATTGAAGTTAAAAATTTTAGAAATAATAATTGAATTTCAGAAGATTATTAATTGAAACTTTCATTTTGAATTGGTGAATTTTTTTAAAAAACTTTAGACAATAATTGAATTTTAGTTAATTTTCAATTGAAAACTGTTTTAAATCGTGTATTTTTCCAAAAATTTGTTTTAAATTATTGAAAATAATCACTTTGCAAACAATTCAAGTTAAAATATTTTTTTAATAATTCAATTTTAAAAAATAAAAAAAAAGTCGAAAAAGTCGTTCAATCCGAGGCCTGTTCTTGAAAACCTTTTGAAATATTTTCATTAAGGTCAGTGAAAAAATTTTAATTTTAACTGGAAATCAGGGAAAAACAAAATAATATTTTTGTGTCAACCCTGCGAAATTTTTCAAAATAATTTTGAAAAATAAAAAAATAAGTCAAGGAACAAGAAAAAACAAATTAAAAAAATTTTAAATTCAACTATAGGAGGGCAGTAGAAATTTACTTGAGTTCAAATAAAACCCAAATTCAAAAATAATAGAAACTATTATAATCCTACTTCTATTAGAATTCTTTTAGAATTTTATGCCATTTTTACTAGTGTATGATAGTAAAGTCATTTAGAGTTTAGTTATTTCGCTTTTATTCTTTCCCTTTTCGAATAAAATTTTTTATTATAACCTGGACCAAGGTAAAAATTTTATCATTTCTTTTTTTTTTTAAAGTTGCTATCTTGATTGAAACTATCATTTGTGATTGTATTTTGTTTTTATGTCTAAAGATTTTTGTCTTTACACTGAAATCAATATATGTATATGTATTCTTCATATAAAGTTAGGTTTTTCATTTTCTATAGAGAAGGTTTTTTTTTTCAAATTTCCAATTTATTTCGTTCGCTTTTTTCATTTTCTATTTCTTATATATTATTGAATATATATAGATATATGTGGGATATTCTTTGAATTATTTTCATTCAAAATTTAGATATGATTAGAATTTTTTTTTTTTTTTTTGATTCTATATTGAAAACAAATGTATATGACTGTGAGGGAAAATCGTGAATTTTCGCTCAATCAATTTAAAGTTTCAAATATTCGAACATTTTCAAACTACAGAAGCTTCTGTAAATTAAGGGTAGGGACGAGCCTTTATAAGCCGAGAAAATGCACATTTTTGTCTCTGAATTCTGAACAGTATTAAACTGGTAAGAGCTTTCTTTTATATATTGAATATAAGGAAAGTTTTCAGAATATAAAACTCCAAAATCAAGTCTCTAAAAATTGGAACTGATTGTCAGGGTCAGTCAAAAGACTTCTACCAACATGATAAATTTTCAATTTTGAGATTAAAAAGATCTAATCGTAAAAAGAATTTAAAAATTACTTTACTGAAGGAGAACCAGTTGTCAGGGGCTATCTAACTAGTCACTTTAGAATATAATTAATTTATTTAAATGAATTATTTAGGAGGGAATTATCAGAGATAAATTTATTATCATAAAAAGATAAAAATTTGATAATTTATTATTAAATTATGGTTTATCATTTGAATTTGATTTATTTATAACCTAGAAAAGTTAATCTAATAGGAAAAATAAAATATAATTCAAAAATAATTTATTTGATCAATAAAATAAAAACTATATCGTCATATAAATTGTTAATATTAAAATTTATTTTAATTCATATTATTTTTTTAGTATTAGATTTTTCGAAACGATAAACAAATCAATTGTTTAAATAACTAGAAGAATTTTTGAAAAGTTAATAACAAAAAGATACAAACCAAATAATTATTGGAAAGATTCCTCTAATTTGTTTTAGAAAAATGACAAAAATTTCAAGAAATAAAAGATATTAAAATAAAATATCCTTTTATGAAATGAGTATCCAACATTAAATAATTAATTAAGTTGTTTTTAATTTCTGACGTTAAAAAAATATATATATTTAAATTCAATTTTATATTAGTGATGCTTGAATTTGTGTTTTGTAGAATTTTTATCTTATCCAATACACCGTCCGACACGATTTTTCACACACGAAAAAATCAATGATTTTCAGAAACTAGGACCAAAAAAAAGATACCCGTGTTTGGCAGTTTTGCTAGATCAGGTCATTTTTTGCTTTTAGGGGTAAAAACAACCCTTAAATGAAAGGTGATAGGAAATCTTGTACAAATTAATAATTTTTTATGAAACCTGGTATCTCGGGGTTTTCCGGGTCGCTGATTACGAATCTGATGTCAGATTTTCAAAATTCAAAATGGCGGATCCAATATGGCGGTCGAAATTTATAAAAATTCACCAATTCATTTGAAAGTTGTTACTTAGGGGTTTTTGGGGTCGCTGATAACGAATATGATGTCAGATTTTGAAAATTCAAAATGGTGGATTTAATATGGCGGTCGAAATTGATAAATATTAATTATTTTTTGTAAAACTTGGTATCTAGGGATTTTTGGGGTCGCTGAGTACGAATCTGAAGTCAGATTTTTAAAATTCAAATTGGCAGATTCAATATGGCGGTCGAAATTTATAAAAGTTCATCGAATTCACTTGAAACATGTTACTTGAAGGTTTTTGGGGTTGCTGATAACGAATTCGATGTCGGGTTTTCAAAATTCAAAATGGCGGATTGAATATGGTGGTCGAAATTTATAAATGTTATTAGTTTTTTATAAAACTTCGTATCTCTGAGTTTTTGGGGTCGCTGAGTACGAATCTGAATGTAGATTTTTAAAATTCAATATGGCAGACTCAATATGACGGTTGAAATTTATAAAAATTGTTAATTTTTTATAAAACTTGGTATCTAAGGGCTTTCGGCGTCTCTAAGTACGAAAGTGATGTCAGATAAGCATAATAAAAACGCCAAATCTAATAAAGGTGAAGATCACAAATCTGAAAAATAATTTGGAAAATTTAAATGTTCGATCAATTTTTTGTTAAAATTTGCAAGCCAACATTTTAAAATTTTTATTTTAAGTGATTTTTAATCTAAAAATTTGTATATTTATTAACTAAGCTTCTATTAGAATTAATAAATTCAAAAGGTTATAATCAAAATTTATTAAACAAATATAATGCAATAAAATAAAATTAATAGAAACATTTCATAACAACTCTTGTATTACGTTTGTGTAAATTTTAGACGCTTATTTTTACGATTTTAAGATTCGACCACCATATTGGATTCGCCATTTTGAATTTTGAAAACCCGACATCAAATTTGTAATCAGCAACCCCAAAAACCTTCAAGAAACAAGTTTCAAGTGAATTCGACGAACTTTTATAAATTTCAAACGCCATATTAAATCTGCCATTTTGGATTTTAAAAATCTGACATCAGATTTGTACTCAGCGACCCCAAAAACCCCTAGATACCAAGATTTACAAAAAATAATTAATATTTATAAATTTCGACCGCCATATTGGATCCACTATTTTCAATTTTCAATTCTGACATCATATTCGTTATCAGCGACCCCAAAAACCTTCAAGTAACATGTTTCAAGTGAATTCGATGAACTTTTATAAATTTCGACCGCCATATTGAATCTGCCAATTTGAATTTTAAAAATCTGACTTCAGATTCGTACTCAGCGACCCCAAAAATCCCTAGATACCAAGTTTTACAAAAAATAATTAATATTTATCAATTTCGACCGCCATATTAAATCCACCATTTTGAATTTTCAAAATCTGACATCATATTCGTTATCAGCGACCCCAAAAACCCCTAAGTAACAACTTTCAAATGAATTGGTGAATTTTTATAAATTTCGACCGCCATATTGGATCCGCCATTTTGAATTTTGAAAATCTGACATCAGATTCGTAGTCAGCGACTCGGAAAACTCCGAGATACCAGGTTTCATAAAAAATTATTAATTTGTACAAGATTTTCTATCACCTTTTATTTAAGGGTTGTTTTTACCCCTAAAAGCAAAAAATGAGCTGATCTAGCAAAACGGCCAAACACGGGTATTTTTTTTTTGTCGGACGGTGATATAATATAATTTAAATATTTTCGATTTTGCCTTTCTATCCAATATAACCAATTTTGCCTTTTATCAAATATAATCAAACCAATTTCTAATTTTCCACTTTTTTCAATGCAACCAATTTCCAATTTTACTTATTATCCAACATAACCAATTTTGCCTTCTATCCAATATAACCAATTGTGCCTTATATTCAATTAAACCAATTTTACATTTTATCCAATATAATCAAACCAATTTCTAATTTTTCACTTTTTCCAATACAACCAATTTCTAATTTCCATTTACTATTAAATAAGAAATAAAATAAAATAACTCAATCACAGTAAGCTTTGATAAAGTTCAATCCAAATGGCAATGAACATCGCCGTTTTCTTTTGGAATTACTTTGGTGATGTCTTCTATGATTATTTTAATACCAAAATGAAAAATAATAAATAAAAATAAATAACTAAAATCGTTAAAACGTGAATTAAAGTATAAAAAATTTTCTGTAGAAAAAGATTGTTCTACGATTTACCGTTTCATAAATACGACACTGCAAACTTTGTATTTACTGTAGAAATTGAATTTAGGTGACCGTTTTTAATCATTGTTTTTTCTTTAACCCTTGCGTGCCTGAGCTGGGTCCCTTGGACCCAGACAATTTGCTTTTTCATCTACTTCTATTTAAGACATTTTTTTTTCAAAATCGTTATCAAATTGGATAAGCTGATGATATAATGTACATTTAAAAAAATAAAGAGAATTTTTTTTATGTAAAACTCTTTCTAATACATTATTTTATAGCTCTTATGTACATACGTAGTTGCCTGAACTGACACTCTTTTTTTTTCATGTACTTCAACATATTCGCTTGAAAATCGTTACTTGAAAGTTTTTGGATTACGAATCCGGTGTCCGTTTTTCAAAATTCAAAATGGCCGATCCAATATGGCGGAAGAATAAAAAACAAGTTGTGAATTCAGATGTTCATTACATGAACATTTTGCTTCCTCTTTATGATTAGCAAAAAAATTTGCTTCCTCGTGGAGAAAGCATTAACATTGAAATAAACATACAAAAATAATATAATAATAATATAAACATTTGAGTACCTATACATTTGAGTTAAATTTAAAGAACCAATGGAAGTTAAAAAATCAAAAATTTATATTTTAACCGAAATTTCTAAATATTAATGAAAAATAATATATAATTTATAATTATTGACAATTATATCGATTCGTTTTAATGCAAGGAATACAATTATTTTATATTTAAACTTGAATTTAAATAAATACAAATTTTTCCAGCTAAAATGTACATTTTCTATTTTTTAATTTTTATCAATTTATTAAATTTACCTCAAATGTATGCTTTATATATACCAATCGATTCGTTTTCATGCAAGGAATACAATTATTTTATATATAAACTTCAATTTTAAAAATCACAAAATTTTATTGCCCAAATGTGAATTTTTGATTTTTTAACTTTTATTAATTCTTTAAATTGACATCAAATGTATACTTTATTTATATATATATATATATATATATCGATCGATTCCTCTCGATGTAAGAAATACGATTTTCTTATATATAACCTTAAATTTTTCTATTTAAAAATGTTTTCGATTAAAAAAAAAAATTTTGGAAAAAAGACGTTAAATTTTTTTCTTTTGGTATTTTTTAAAATCCTTTGGTCAGATTTGAGATATTAATATGATAAATGAGCCTACAAAATTTTATCTAAATCCATAAAAACTTGTTAAAGTTATCGTCTAAACAAAAAAGGGATCCACACACACATCCGGACAATTGATCAGGATCTCATATAACATGTTTCTATATGGAAAAAAATTTGTTTCCGCCACTTTGAAAATTTTTATAAACGAAAGGACTACAAAGCTTCCTCCACGAGGAAGCAAAAAAAATCGTTCGGTATCGCTTGAAAATCGTTACTTGGGGGTTTTTGGGGTCGCTGATTACAAATCTAATGTTACTTTTTCAAAATTCAAAATGGCGGAACCAATATGGCGGATATATTTTTTTAAATTTGACGGATTTGCTTGAAACTCGTTATTCAGGGATTTTCAAGGTCGTTGATTACGAATCCGATATTAGTAAATTGTATTAATTTTTAATTTTCCTGTACGCCATATTGGATCCGACATTTTAAATTTTGAAAAACTAACATCAGATTCGAAATAAGCGACCGAAAACCTCCGAGTAATGATTTTCAAGTAAATATGTTTAATTTTTGAAAATTCGTCCGCCATTTTGAATTTTCCAAATTTGACGTCTGATTTGTAATCAGCGACCCCAAAAACCTAAAAATATCCAGTAATACTTAAATTAAATTTATTACTTTTTTTGTACTGTACTTTGCCCTGTCGAAAAAGGTGTCACGACGCGACTTTTTGTGGGCTATTTATGTACCCTAGAGTGTCAAAAGATTAAATATTTTTTGCAATTATATTTGCAAAATATTACAATTATAATTTAGAATTAAAATATTAAAAATCCTGCTATTAAATCTTGTTTTTTTATGGAATTTAAGCAGCTCAGGCACGTGAGGTTTAATGTTCTAAATATAAAAAATATAATATAATATGTTTAAGGGGATTTATTTTCAAACAATTTCAGATAGATAAAATTAAATTTTCTCTGGATAGCATAAAAGTTAACAGGCTTTGAAAAACACAATTCCTTTTAATAACTATGATGTTTAACATCCGCAGTTATTAAAATAATTGTGTGAATTTTCATTTTATTATGTAGAAAAAGATAATATATTTCATTATATTTATTAAGTTATATATTTTGAGGTTTACCTTTCTGGTTATAATAGAATGAACAGTTGCTCGTCCGTCCCGTACCATAAAAATAAACTTGGCGTTGGGGAATAGTTCAAGAACGTAAGAACCAAGCTTCAATGTAAGTGGATCCTTGTTGCACAAGCGAGGAGCTGGTTCACCATGTCTTGCTATCACCTCGAGACAAAAGGCCGCTATCGCACTATCTATTACCTGAGGAGAGTGAGATAATTTACTTTTAGTATGTTACAAAAGTGTTGCGTTTTACAAAAAGAAAGTAAATGCTTTGTTATAAAAATTGAATAAAAAGTGAATCGTTTAAATTATAAATATATATATAATTATTTTACATCTTTTGAGAGACCGGCTTCTTCAAGACGTAAACTTTCCCTTTCTGATTTGTACCAATGGGTTCTCATTTGCAAAATTCTTGGTATCACTCTTGTCTCTTGACCACATCTAAAAAAGATAATTTTACATTATTATTAATTTTGTGAATTATCTATTTTTTTTCGTGTTTAATAATCTTTTGTAGAAAAAATTCGTGGCGCTAGCTAGCACTGCTAGATTACATAAGCGCCAACATAGAGTATAGCAGCGCTAGCTAGCGCCATGAATTTTTTCTACCAGGATTGCTACAGAATATTACTCTCTGTGCGAATTAAAAAAAAAAAATAAAACAGTGGATTGAAATCTCGATTGAAATTAATTAGTTTTTATTAGAAAAATTAACATCCAGTGATTGTGTTATTCTTTTTTATTTTGGGTGAAGTGAATTTTGATTTTAATAAAAAGGAAACAATTTTGATAAAATTTTCACATGATATTATTAATTAATTAATTAATTAATTAATTAATGTATATTACCTCACTTCGGGATGTGCATCAAGCATGGCACGCATTAAAGTTGTTCCTGAACGTGGCATTCCACCAATGAAAATTAATGGCATATATCTATCATAGCTATATGTTTTTTGGTCGTATGGTCCAACTACATATTTCTGTAAACGGACAAAAATTTTCATTATTTTTTAATTAAAATTTATTAATAAAAAAAATGTATAACTCTGGAATTTGAAAAAACATTTTAATTTAAAACAACTTTTTTATAATTGAACGTTGATTTCTACAATCCAAAAAATTGAAGATCTTTTGATATTAATTAGTTATTATTATTATTATTATTATTATTGATAAAAGAAAAATTATACATTATATACTGAAAAATGTATAAAATACACGTTTAAAACTTTTTTAATTAAATATTTATCTTTGGATAAAATAAAAATATTATTATCTTGCGGTTTTTTTGTCAAGTTCAAAAAAATGGAAATGTCACGATTCTTCTATTTTTTTTCTCATACAAGTATATAAAAGTAAAATTAATTATTATGTCACTAAAAAGTTTCTCTTAATTAATTATTTAAAATGTGGATTCCATATACAGTTAATTACTACAAACACGTCACTCCAGTAGCTGTTTGAATGCGATAAGGACGCGTTTAGTCCTTTATCATATGAAATGAGTAAGCCCATGAATATAACATACGTATATATACGTATATATATATATATATATATGATTATAATTATATAAAATAAAAATTAATTACTTATTCATATAAAATCATTTAACAAAATGTTTTTTTTTAATTTAGATTATAAAATAAAAAAATTCTCTCCACATCTGAATTAGTTAAAAATAACTGAAAATTGATTTACATTTGACTAAAAGTAACGAATTATTAGTAAAAATAACTAATTATTAGTAAAAAGTAACTAATTTTCAGTGAAAAAATAACTAATATTATAGTAAAAATTAAAGAATTATTAGTAAAAATAACTAATTATTACTAAAGAAAAATAACTAGTTATTACTAAAGAGTAACTTATTTTCAATGGAAAAGTAATTGAAAATTAGTTCAAATTTGACAAATTTTTATTAGTAAAAATTAACTAATGAATAGAAATATTAATATTTGAATTAGCAATTGACTTTTTGCTATCAAATTATTAGCTTTTTCAAAATAATTCAAATTTAAAAACTTTGTTCTCAACAGGAAAATTGATTTTTATCAATACAGTAAAAAAAAGAGACAAATTAAACATTACATTATAATATAAAATCAATTTTTTACGTAGATGAAATTTTCTTTTTTTTTTTTGAAAAATGCAGAAATATTTTTCAATTTAATGCTTTGCATTCACATTATAAAGTAAAATATTTTTCTCAGTCCAATGGGAATAGTAGTATGTACAAAGACATGCCAGACCGTCTGATCAAAACGGGATGTTTCTACTGAAATGCCTTTCCACTGTGTGAGTACAATAACAAACTGACAACTAAAGACATTTAAATCAAGAATTATTTTGCTTTCTCTCAAATGTCATCTACAAGACATTTCAACGAGAATTATATAATATTTATTTATATATTATTGTCTTGTTTCAAAATAATTGAGAAATTTTTCTTTTTATATTATTTTATCAGTGCCGTTATTAAATAAAAAAAACAGAAAAATTTTTAAAAAAAAGTTTTTTCTAATTGTTTTTAAAAATTTTTTTTACATTGAATAATAATTTTATTTGTTTCTTATATTGAACATTGAATATTTTTTTTTTTATTTTGTTGTTATCTACATAATTTTTGTTCAATCTGTTACTTAGGTAAATTATATAAGAAATAAATAAATTATAAATTGATAAGACATACATTTTTTCAAAGAATTTTCATTAGAATTATTGAAAATTTAAATATCATGATTTTATAAAAGGAAAAAAAATAATAATAATAATAAAAGTAATGTATAAAAAAAAATTTCAAAGAAAAAGAAAATTATGAATTTTTTATTTTACTTTTAATCTGTTCTTCGCGCGATTTTGTCATATTTTAAAATATTTTTCCCTCGAATTTTCGTCAGACCATTCATTTATCGCGTATATTTTGTCGACGTTGAAAATCCCAAAGAGTGGAAAACATTCGCGCTCATATATACCCTAATTGATACTGCAATTTAAATACGACGTTAAAAAGTGTGGTAAAAATATTTTACAATTAGTATTTTTCGCCTCTGTGCAGCACAGACACACACACAAAACGTGGTCTGTCTTTTTTTTCGCCAATTTTTTTTCGTTATTATTATTTTTTTCCTTTTTTCTTTCTTTCTTTTTTTTTTTTTTTGAAGTGGAGAAATTGCGCGTGAAATGCGACTAGCGATTTATGCTGTGGAAAGGATGAACGCGACAGAAACTCGTTTCTCTTCCGTTCGCACGTTGTGTGCAGAGTTTTGTTTTGGCCCTCCTTGTTTTATTTTTGTTTGTTTTGTTTTCTTTCTTTTTTTTTTTTTGCTTTTCAACCCAAGCAATGTAGACATATAGGAAGGAAAGTTATTCTAGACAAAACATTCCGAGAGAAAGTGATACACCTACAATTTACAAAAAAAAAAAAAAAAAAATGTCTGTCCTTTCTCTATGCATTGTCTTGAAAAAAAATTATAGACTTTCTTTCTTCTCTTTTTATAATGGAAATTTCTTCAAAATATATATTTGACATTGAAAAATGAGCAAAAATATGAGTGAGAATAAAAACTAGAAAAAAAAATTTTAGATGTAAAATTTTTTTAAAAGTTTGTCATATTGGATCCAACATTTTGAATTTTTAAAATCTAACATCAGATTAATAATCAGTGACCCCGAAAACCCCCAGATACCAAATTTTATAAAATATTAATAATTTTTAAAAGATATCTTGTCACTTTTTATTTGTAGGGGCTGTTTTCACCCCTAAAAACCACAAAAGATTTGATCTAGCAAAACGGCCAGACACATGTATTTTTTTGGGTCCTAGTTTCCGAAAATGTTGGATTTTTTTATGGGTCAAAAAAAAGTTGAATTTTGTCGGACGGTGTAAAATATGAAAAATCATATTCAGAAATGGCTTTGGTGACACAAAGAGAATTAAGAATCACTTATTCTATTTTTTAATAATCGTTATTGGAATGAGAAAAGTTTTCGTGAATAATAGACTTCATTTCGTTAAGTACCTCTCTCTCTTATTCTTGCATTTTTAATCTCTATCATATTCAATTGACGCGAATATTACATATATAATTTTAAATTCTTATAAAATTCTGTCGATATTGCTACAATGAATTATATTCTCGAATCCATTTTCGAATGTCGCGTGTAAGATAAAAATAATAGTATTTTAAAATGTTCAAAAAAAAAATATAATGAAATTAATAAATTTGCAATACTATTTTTGAATATAGTAAAAAATTTAAAAAAATTATGGAATATTTTAATCACAAAAACTACTCACATAGCACATTATATTTCCTAAATATTTCTGAAATATTTCATTGAAATTTTTAAAAATTTCAAAGCGAAGTCCTTGAAATATTGCTAAAATTAAAGAAATGTCCACCTTTAAGAAATATTGCCGTGTAATTTTGCTGAAATATTTCATTAAAATATTATAGAAAAATTCCAACTTAAATGAGGCGCACTGCTCGATCTCAGTTTCTATATCCTTTATAGCTGCGCAGTAGTTTTTAATTTTCTAGGATCCTAAGGTGTTGAACATATTAGAAAATAACGATTAATTTCATATTTTAAAAAAGTTTCTAACTTTCTTTGAAATATTTCCTGAATATTGCAGAGTCTTCATGTGTAATATTGCAGGAGTCTTAAAGTGTAATATTTTAGCAAAATTGCACGGCAATATTTCTTATAAGCGGACATTTTCCTGTTTTCATCAACATTTCATAAACCTTGCATTGAAATATTTCAAATCTTTCAATGAAATATTCATGAAATGTTTAAGAAATAAAATGTGCTGTGTGGGTATTTTCCAATTAAAAAAAAAGTTTTTCAAAACTATTCAAAAAGTAATTTAAAATAAAAAATTGAATATTTCTAAAAACATTATTTTGCTTACAAAATATTTGTTCTATTTTTATCTCTACTCCTTTTTTTCGGTATAAGTGATTCTCTGTAAGATTTAGTACTATTATTATTTGAAAGTTTAGAAAACAAGTCATTAAATTTCTCAATGGCTCTTGGTGTATGTTTGTAGAAAAGTTTTGCGAAACTATATATATATATATATATATATATATGGTCATTTTAACGATTATGTGCGTTCGTCTCTAGTTTTAAATCACTTTTTTTTATTTTTTTTTTTTAAAGAAACGGTATAATATATAGATTTTTTGTAAGCTTGGGTGTCCTTAAGTCGAGAAACTCGACTTCATGGACGAATGACCAGGCTAATAGACTGTCCATCCAGGAGAAAGAAAACAAAAGAACTTTTATCAAGCTCCTTTCAAAGTGGTTCGTTTTAAAAGTTTCAACGAACAGTCAAGCCGCACAGAAAACTATAGGTATATATATATATAACGAACGAGGCGCCATTCTTCATAAAAACTAACTTGGGTTTTCGTATAGCCATCGATAATTCTCCAGAGGATAAAACAGTAATTGCAGATTTTAAAAGTTTTTTTTTTAAAAAAAAAAGAAAACTAAAATTTTTCGGTAAATTTGAAGCGCAACATTGCATTGCAACATTTAAAAACGAGTTCATATCAGTAAAAAAATGTTTTTTAAAACCTTAAAAACATTATAATTTTTAAAATTACTTAAATCAAATAATAATATTTTAATTAAGAAGAGAAATCAGATTACAAGTTTGAAAAAATCGATTTTTTATTGCGTAAATCGTTAGCTAAACTATCGAAAAATACGTTGTCAAAATTTCAAAGAGAAATTCGCATTTCTTTATATTTTACAAGCTCACTGGGTATAATATAGACTACAGGCTCAACCGCGCGGCAGGCAGGACGGAGTACTCGCTTTGTTTACTTAGCGTACCCTTGTAAGAAGGCTTATTGCAAATTAATCGGCACGTACTTTATTTTACTGTTAACTTCTTTAAATTTCTAGTTTTCGATACTTTTTTTTTTATTAAAAAGCGTTTTTCTCAAAATGACATTTTTCATAGTTGTTGGGTTTTATTGTTTATAAAATAAATTATAAAATCCAAACACGAATCGTACTCTTCACTTTGGGCATATTGATATTTTAGCACAATCGACGCTTTTTAAAATTCATGTTGTACATTATCCTGTTTTCTTACATGAATTTTCACTATTAGATGTTTTAATATAATTGACCTTTTTTTTATATTTTATTTTGTATAAAAACCAATTATTGATTTTGACAATTCTTGTTAAACAGCTGATTACAATCGATTGTAGCTGCGCGCGCTGCAAACTGAATGTTAAGGCCAGGTCCAAATCAAGTCAGCTGTTCCTTTGAAGATTCAATGGAACAGCTGACATGACTTGGACCTGGCCTTAATCATTGGTCGATAACAAGTCAAAAGCACGAAGTAATAATAAGGAGACTCAATCAGGGTTGCGCAGTTACGCGTAATTCGAAGTTCTCTATGTAGATTACGTAGAATAAGTAATCTACGTAGACAACTGTAGAAACCCCATGTAATTTACATGTCAAATATATAGCGTCTACTAAACAGTGAATAAACACGTGAAAAAACGGAAAACATAACCCCTTTACTCTTTAATAGTCTAATATCAATTATTGTTTAATATTTATTGTTGGTCAAAGTTTTAAAATAATTAAAATACTTTAAAATTACCTTAAAAAAGAAATGTGCCTCATTGTCAATACCATACAAAGATTTAAACTTTTAACACATAAAATTAGACGAAAAAGCTGTTGTAAATTATTATTTTGCGAAAACGAGTTTAATAAGCAAAGAAATGTTACAAACATTCTTCTTTATGTCAAATAAAATGGGAATTAATATTTGTTTTAAACCAAATTTTACAATTTTAATAAATTAATTAAAATTAAATTTTATATCCAAATTGTCTCTTCATATATATATTTATTAATTATTGCGTTTGTACAGGAGAATATGCCAAAATAAATCATCAAGTTCTAATAAGCAGGTTACTGACTTATTTGTTATATTTCTTTGACCGGCTGTCACATTCACATATCTTGGTTTGCTTTTGAGGTTATGTTGCAATGTTCGACAAATACCACATAACGATTTATAAGAAGGTGTGAATTATGTAGAAAACTGTAGACGTAAATTACTAGGTAATCTACGCGTAAAGAACTACGTAGATTACACAGAAAATTAAAAGGCATTAAAATAAGCTGCAACGCTTATTATTTTAATCCAATTTTGCTTATTTTAATCCATTTTGGTATTAAAATAATGAGCGTTGCAGCTTATTTTAATGCCTTCTAATTTTCTGTGTACCTTAGGTAGTTTACGCGTACTCAACCCTGGACTCAACTCTGTATTTGCCATCTGTCAAGGTCACTGTATCATAAGTGACATGTTCGCTAAAGGGAATTAACATTCGAATGAGAGCGCATGTGCAGTGTAATATACGTGTCTCTCTCCAACTAATAGGAAAAGTGCGACTGAGAAAGTTGCCGGCATTAGACTGATGACGACAACTTTCTCACTTGCATTTTTTTCATTAGTTGGAGAGAGACACATATGTGACACTGCACATGCGCTCTCGTTCGAGAGTCTATTCCCTTTAGCGAACAGGTCACTTATGGTCCAGTCTAGTACTAGTCCAGTCACCCTAGCTGGATTCCGATAATATACACCATTATAGTTGAGTCTCCTTATTATTACTTCGTGGTCAAAAGCTTTGGTGGTCTTATGGCACATTCACACCTCAGTTACCGGAAGTTGGAGTTACGCCATGACAAAAGGCTCGATTCACAATGTTTCGAGCAACTTTTATATGAAATTGTACAGTGTTTTGTAAATTTTATTGAAAAACTGAAAGAAAAATGTATTCTAGGATCTAAATCAATGTTTGAAAAGGTAGAGAAAAACGCAATCTGTCAGTTAAAATGGTGGTATGGGTTGGTTTCCGTTATCCCTACTCGCTATTTGTCATAATTCTCGTCAACTACCGCACCTTACTCTAGTAAAAATTTAGTGACTTTATTGTTAAAATTAAAAGTTACTAAATTTTTACTTGAGCAGGGTGCGATAGTTGATGAGAATTATGACAAAATAACGAGTGGAGACAATGGAAACCAACCGTATGTATTTTCATTATTTACCTTTTCGCATACATAATTTTTGGTTAAATAAAACTTTACGTCCTTCTAACATCATTAAATTCTAAATAATAATACAACAGCTAAATGAAGTAATTAAGGAATAATTTTTTTTCATATTACAAAATTCAAAAGGCTTTTATTCGCATAAATTTTTATATTTTTTTCATAAATGTTTTTTCTTTGAAAAATTTGTATGCGTTCCCAAGTAGAAATATCCGTAGCTCGCCGTAATTAAACACCGGCATGGTACTGATCCAATACTGGCTGTCGGTATTGACTTTCAGTACTGGCAGTGTACTGACTAATACACCGAATCAGTACTATGTCGGAGGTAAAAAAATATTAAAACCAGTACTGGCAGTACACTGTCATTCACACCGAATCAGTACTATGTCGGTGATAAAAAACATTAAATGAAAAAGTCTTTAAATTATTTCAATAGGTAGAAAACGATGATTTTTTATTTAAAAAAATGTATATTAATTTCTTTCGAATACTTTCCCTCAAAATTTTGAATGTAATTGTAATGTATTATTATATACCTATATAAAATATATTTATGTTTTTTTAGTTATTTTAGTACTCATTGAAATATGTGCATTAAGTTATTTATCATGCATACAATAACAATAAGTTGAGAATTTTTTTCTAATAGTTTTAAAAATAAAGCAAATGTAATTTTTTCACTGTAATTTTTAAATATTATTAATAATTAAATATTAAATTTAAAAAATTTTTCACCATTCATATTTTACAGTCGTCTTTTATTAACTTATTTTTAATTATGTAATTCATCAATCATTTTTGTCTGTTTTAATATTATTTACGGTAAAAATAATTTATTAAAAATATTTAACTGAAATTGATATCCAGTTTTATTTCATTAAATCTTTGTAAAAATTGAAAAAATTTTATGAGTTTAAAAAATTTAAGAATAAATTCATTTTATTTTCGTGATCAATAGATAATACAAATTTTGAAATCAAAACTTTTGTATTAGGTGAACTACTTCAAGTCAGCACTTCAAGCCAGCGCGGCTGGGCGGTATGCGTATCTGACTTGCGTTCTAAGGGTTTAGGGTTCGATCCCCCATGCGTGCGAGATTTTTCGTTTTTAGTTTTAAGTGTTATAAGTACAATATTTGTTCATGTGTAATATCAATTATTAAATAATTATTAAATTAAGTATAAGTGCAAAGTAAAAAAAATTAAATATTATGAATTTAAAAAAAAAAAAAAATTTACAACACAAATTATTTTTTGTAAAATAATTTATTAAAAATAAAATAATTTAATTAATATAAATGATAATTATTATTTTAATTATTTATTGTTAATAATATTTTATATATTCTAAATAACATTAACTATTATTGGCTTCACATTACCTGTTCGTGGTAAAAATGGGAGTAATAAGCTAATAAGGATGAAATTTGCATTGGAAAGCGTGTTTTAGCATTTTGTAAAAAAGTGAGATTTTAAGTCCGGATGAGTACTTTGCCAGTATTATGCCAGTATTATTCTAGTACTACGTTAGTACTGATGAGCGGGACAAAATCAGTACTGGACAGCGTTACCAGCCAGGGTTGGTCCACTACTGGCCCAGTACGGCAGTCAGTACCGTTATACTGACTGGCAGTGTTGGGTCAGTACTATGCCAGTGGCACATTTCTACTTGGGTTAGTATAAGACACTTTAATTGAACATCAGTACAACTTTTTCTTTTTCTTTAAAAAAAAAAAACAAGTTCTTGAGATGTGAATGGATTATAGCGAGAACGAAAAGATTGAAAGTGCAGTCTAAGAAAAATGGAGGGAAAAAGTCTCTGGCAAATAAACGTATCGGCAAAGTTGCTGGAAGGATGGTTAAACTGAAGTTGCCATTCGTCATTCAATTGAGAAAACTTTTCAGCATTTTAATCTTATTCCACGTTCTGTGGGAAATATTGAGGATGTTAATTTATTTCTTTTTACTGAAACATTCAAATAATGCTTCGCGCACAAGACGCAACTTTTTTTTCCCTCTTTCTTCTCCATGATTTATTCACGAGAATATAGTGAATTATTTATTAATTAATAAAATTTTATTTTTTTTGCTATTAAATTGTTATTTAAATTAATAATTATGTTTAATTTTGAAATTAAAAATTAATAAATTTTTTAAATTAAAAATTCTTTTTTTGTAGAGAAAATTATTTACCTCTTTGGTTACCATAACAGCATTGGGTCGATCTTTCGGTCCACTGCATATAATGCCAAGTTGATAGAGTGCGAGGAGAAAAATTATTATAAAAATAAAAATAATGGGAGCTTTTCGCGTCCCACGAGACGCCAGCGACATTCCTAATGTAGATTTAGTAACACGTACACTTCTGGTGACGGGATGCAACCAATATTGCCAGTGCATTTACAATTGTTTTTTCTTCTAATTCAAGCATCTAGCGCTTCACGAATCTAATATTTTATCATCTGTTTCTGAAAAATACAAAAGAAAAGGAAAATTTAATTATTTGATTTAAAAAAAAATTTTATTTACATTGTCTAATAATTAATTACTATAGCTAGGTATATATATATATGTAAATGAAAAACAATTTATTATGATTCAGAAAATAGGATTTTAAAGAAAAAAATATTCATTTTATTGAAAAAACAACTTATTTCAAAGAAGGCAATTTACTGAGAAAAATTTTCTATTTTCCAAAGTACTTCAAAAGAAAAATAAATCAAACGTACCAATATATATATATAAGAAGAAAATGGGAAAAAATTGAAATCTCTGATATTTCACAATAAAAAGGATGGAGAAAAAATACCATTGCATGAAAATTAATGCCCTTGAAGATGAAAAATATCTCTTCCAAACATTCTGTATATATAATAGAAATTAATTCCCAAAGTAATGAAAAGTCAGTGCAATTAGAAATTTCCAGGCGAATTCAATAAAAGTACATTCCCTTTAATTTCCACAGAGATTTTAGTTTTATCACCAGAGGAGTAATTTTTTTTTCTTTTTAATTAAACAATTGCAACAAAAAGTAAATATATATATTTCATTTCGTTTATTATAAAAGAAACGATTTTTTTCGTCTCTCCTCGAAAATAAATTAATTAAATTTGCCAAGTAATGTAAAACAATAAATATTTTATATAAATCTTTACGTTCGTCGGGTTCACATAATAACTTTGAATTCAACTTCGAACTTTTCTAATTCACTAAAAGATGTCATTAAAAGGTCAACTATATGGTCCTGGAATAGCAGACTAATGGTAAAAAATTTTTAGTACTTAAATTTATTATTTTTTCATGTATTAAACACATGTCAAAACTTGAAACGCATTTTTCTCAAAACACGATTTTTCAAATCTGCACGCAATATAACTCAATCAGTTTTCATTTTTTTCAATCCAAATTTTTACCATATCTTTAAAATAACATTCCTCACAGAAATACGTGGCCGATTTTTGATATGATAAAATTTCTATTTTTCAGGGGCGAAAAAGTACCGATTTTTTTAAAAACTTTTTAAAATAAAAAAATATATTTTTACAAACATAAAAATATGCCTAACAATATCCTTTAATTTAATTAAGGCAAAAAACATTAAATTTCTGCCTCCTACAGTGGTGTAACCGCTTAAGATTCTATTAGTATTGCTATTTATTTACTATATTTAGTGTAGTAAAACACCGACACCGTGACCTCGACACCGTCCTTGGAAAATCTATTTCTACTTATTTTCAAATAAATCAAAATACTTTCCCATATGCTTTTAGAAAATCTTAAATTACTTTTTTTTGTAGCATGTTTTTTCAATTTTAACCCGAAAAAGGGTTATTTTGCATTTTCATCCCAAAAAAAGGGTTATTTTGCAATTTTATGCAATTTTTTACGAATTTTTGGATATATACCTTTAAAATTACTCTATTTTTAAAAATTTACTTAATAAACAATTTTTTACCAAATTTTTTTTTATTATTATTTATTGTTGTTTTTTAAATTTTTAGTTAGGAACCTATAAGTAATATTATGCCTAATTTTAAGTGTCATTGAAATCAATTGTTTTTAACTTAATAATTTTAACATTTCTTATTTTAAAACGAAACATCTTCTATTATATTAAGTTAACTAATATCCAAAAGCGACACCGACACCGTCCTTGGAAAATCTATTTCCACTTATTTTCAAATAAGTCAAAATACTTTGCCATATGCTTTTAGAAAATCTTACATACTTTTTTTTGTAGCATGTTTTTTCAATTTTAACCCGAAAAAGGGTTATTTTGCATTTTCATCACAAAAATGGGTTATTTTGCAATTTTTTGCAAGTTTTTACGAATTTTTGGATATATACCTTTAAAATCTCTTTATAAAGGTTTACTCTGGATAATAAAAATAAAAACCGATATTTTAAAAGGTTTTTTTATTTATTATGAACATTTTTCTAAAAAATTTGCAAAATCTCCATGTGTTTGTGGGGCAATTTACAGCAATATAATATAATATAATTAATATTGTTGTTATAATTATAATAAATTAAAACATTTAATATTTAACAATTTTCATTTCATCCTTCTATGATACTGATCAAAATTAAGATAAATTTTATACAATATTAATAATATATTCATTTAAAACATAAATTATATATATAATATACATAAACTACAATAAGTTAACAACAATAAGTACAACTATAACCGAGCGAGGAATACATCGCTAGTTTAAAAATAATTTTGAAAAATCTCACACGAATGGGGAATCGAACTCAGGGCCCTTGAGACGCGAGCCATATACTCACGCAGCCACATTGACTTACAGATTATTTACCCAATACTCCTTCTACCTAACTAAATCTAATATTTTTCTTGAACATTATGATTGTACCTTCTGTTTGAAACAACGAAATAACTAAATTACCTTTATTTAAATTTAAATTAATAAAATAATTATATTAATTTATATTAATTTACCATTTAATAATAGTTTATAATTGTTTTAAATAATTTATTAAAAAAAATCTACAAGTGTTTACTACCACTTAAGGTTTTAGATTTCATTATCGTTTTTAAAAGGAAAAAAATAAATAATTTGAACTAAAGAAAAAGAAACATAGTTTTAATAAATAGAAGTTTTGTTTCTTTTAAAATCAATAAAAACAAAATTTAGAAAAAAATGAATATTGATGCATGATGTAACAAAAGTAATAAAATTTAATTCAAATAATTTATATAGTTAAAATATTTCACACGAATGCAAATGAAGTGTGTTGTGGGAAATTTGAGTGATTTAGAAATTCAAAATAGTTTGTTTTAGTATGTTTAGAAGTGAAAAGTGTCAGGTAATCCCTAAACGGGAATAATCCCAGAGAGTTGAATCCACTTCCGGTTGAATTTCCGGAGGGAAGTTGGTGATTCTCTCTAACAAGATTATTCCTTGCGCACTAGTGGCACAACGACAGGAGATTATGGGGGTGCATCAATTTTCGCACCTCCGAGTTTTATTAGCTGTACGCATCGTTTATGCATTCAAAAGGTATCTTTCTCTCTCGCTTGTACATTTGCTTTTTCCCCTCTTACATATATATATAACACTAAAAGGAGAACTTACAAAATGGCATGGCAATGGCTCACGAGTCCTCAGTAATTCAAATTTCATGCAAATCGTTTACAGAAGGTGGAAAGCTTTCCGAGTAGCACTGCCCTCGAATTATTATGGAGGAACCCCGAGTTTACGAGTAGGAAACCTCATAAATTCGTATTTCCCCAATGTGTATATATGTATATATATATACTTCCACATTGGGATCACAGTGCAAGAATTTATATACACACAATTTCATATATTTGTGCAACAGTATTATTCTTTTCAAACAGTGATTTTTACCATTATTGAAAATTTACATTCATAAAATGAAAATTTATCATTGATTCTTTATTCCAAGTGTATAATCAATCAATAAAAGTGGAGTTTAAGGAGTTATAAGTTTTAAAAATGTAAAACTTGTTCTTTTTTTTTGAAATCTCTAAAGTCTTACGAAGTATTTTAATGCATGAACGATGTAAAAATATTTTAAATATTTGAGAAAATTATATGTACCAGAAGTTGGTGTATCGGAAAGATATTAACGCACGGAGAAAGAAAGTCAATAATAATGTCTGTACAAAGATTTTACCCGAGAAAAAATTCGAAGAATATAAATTTTCTTCAAATTTTAAATGGCCTAAATTCAATTATTACAGACGTATTAAAACCGAATTCTTATTTGAAGTAATTTTTATTTGGTCTAATTCTTATTTAAACTAATCTCATTTTGATATAATTATTATTTGACCTAATTGTCCAATTGAGCTAATTTTTATTTGGTCTAATCTTCAATTAACCTAATTTCTATGTAACCTAATATTTATTTACGATAATTTTCATTTGGCCTAATCTTAATTTAAACATAATTCTTTTTTCTCCTAATCATCATTTAAATTAATTCTCATTCAATATAATTGCCATTTGACTTAATTCTTATAATATTTAGTTGGTATAAATACTTTTTGTTCTAAATATTATTTGACCTAAATACAAGACTTTTTTTTACTAGTGAGATGTGTATTAAAAAAAAACTTCCGCCGCATAGCACTGCACAGTTCATTTGTGTCCTGATTATTTCACTGTTCATCAATAACCTATAGTCTTATTACTTTTTTTTTATTCCTAAAAGCTTTTAGATGTTGAAAATTCAACCTCTCTATAACAATAATATTTAAATTCTTATTTTATTGTTATTTTCAAGAACTGTACTGTTAAATGATAAGAAACATTTTTTTTTAATTTTTGAAATAAATTAAAGGTGAAAAGTCATGGAAGCAATGTACAGCTTTTGAATATAGTTTCTTGTGCGTTATAAACACTAATATGATATGAGACGCTTGATGGGATAATATGGAATTAATTGATGACACGTAATTGCCATTTCTCACATTGCCAATTGGAATCGAAAGAGACTCTCGTATCACATCTACCAATCATAATCACCACTTGTCACTCTAACGCGCAGTGGACAGAACTTCTATCGTAATCTGATTTATAGCTTTCAGTTTCGCAAGCAGCAATATCCCCTTGATGTGCAAATGATTTGTGGAATATGGAACATGAAGTTACTCAAGAGAAATATTATCCCTGGTTAAACACTAAATTGAAACATTTAATATGTGTTTCTTAATTATATATAGTTAAATATTGATCAAAAGTAATATTCTCATATAAGGGCGATATTTGCATTAATGTTCACGCAAAAATAATTTTAATTGTAATCGACAAAGTAGTCCCTTTTCATGCGGACGTACACATATATGGGGCAAAATTTCTTAAATTTTTGAGTTTATGGAATAGAATAATGGAAATATAATATAGTGGAATAGAAAATTTTGATTTCACAATTTGCAAGAAAAATTTAAATATGATACCATTGCCTTCTAAAA